TGCCCCCACTTTGCCACTATCGTTCCCCCTCACTGCCCACTGCTACTTTTCCCTGCTGCCTTCCCTCACGTGCCCGCTGCTTCTCCCCCCTTGCCGCCGCTTTTCCCCCCTTGCCCGCTGCTCTTCTACTCTCGCCAGTTGCTTTTCCCTTCCTTGCCCCTGCTTTTCCCCCCCTCGCCGCTGTTATCCCCCCCCTTGTCCGCCGCTTGTCCCACCCCTTGCCCGCTGTTTTCCCCTCTTTGCCCGTTGCCTTCCCCTCCCTTGGCCCTGCCTTTCCCCCCATTGCCCGCTGTATTTTCCCCCCATTACCCGCTGCTTTTCCCCCTGGCCTGTTGCTTTTCCCACTGGCCTGTTGCTTGCCCGTTGCCTTTCCCACCCTTGCCCGTTGCCTTTCCCCCCCCTTGCCTGTGCTTTTCCCCCTTTGCCGCTCGTCTTCCCCCCTTACCCGCTGATTCCCCCCTTGCCCGCTGCTTTACCCTCTCTTGCCCCTGCTTTCCCCCCTTGCCCGCTGTTATTCGCCCATTGCCAGCTGCTTTTCCCCCTGGTCCGCTGCTTCTCCTCCCTTGCCCGCCGCCATTCCCCCCTGGCCCGTTGCTTCCCCCCCCCTGTGTTCCCGCTGCTTTCCCCCCCGCCTCCCCGCTGTTCTTCCCCCCCTGCCCGTTTTGCTGCCCATTTGGGTCCCACCCATCCTCCGGTCCTCTCTCCACTCCCGACCCTCTCCTTTGATTACCCACTTCCCCCCCCGCTTTCCCCCATTTTCTTCGTGTTCCTCCCCCCTTTCCCCCTTGGTTCCCCCACTCTTATCCCCGCCCGCTCTCCCCTACTGTCCCCCGTTGTTTCCCCCTCGTATTCTATCCTGCTTTCCACTCTTTCCCCTTGTTTCCCCCTCCCTTCCCCCTAGCCACTACTTTTCTCCCATTGCCCACTGCTTTTCCCCCCTCGCCCACCATTCCTCCCCCCATTGCCCACTGCCTTTCCCCTCCTTGCCCACCCCCTTCCTCCCCATTGCCCACTGCTGTTCCCCGCCCTGCCCTCTACTCTTCCCCCGCTGCCCACTGACCTTCCCCCTGGCCCACTGATTTCCCCCCCTTGCCCACTGCTCTTCGCCGCTTTTGCCCAGTGCGTTTCCTCCCTCTTCCTCGCTGCTTTTCCGCCCCTCGCCCTCTGATTTTCCCCTCCTTGCTCCCACCAACTCACACGTCAGTTTCCACCCCCGAAATCGTCCCGCCCCACACCCGGTGCTCTTCACTCCTCCCCCTCCTCTCCTTCCAGCTCCCCCTGTCCCTGCAGGCTGTTTCTTTCCATCTTGTCCTATCCCCGTTTCCCCACCTTCACCCCGTACGTCTCCCCACAGTCGAGCGCCATAACCCTCCTCTAATCGCCGCCCCTGTTCTCTCCCTATCCTCCCCCCCCTGTCCCCTCCCCACTCCACGCAGTTTCTCTGATCTCACCTTCTTTCCCCGCTGTTTTCCTCCCTCCCTTCCCCCCCTGCTTCCCCCTCCTCCCCCTCTTCTAGCATGCAGTCCCCGTGGCCATGACCCACACCCCTTGCAATGGGGGGGAGGGCGGCCCCGGTGCTCTCCGACGGTCAGGCAGAGCCGGTAGCCGCCCTTCCCCCTACTCATCGTCTTCCATCCCCCCACCCAACAGTATCGCCCCGCCAGCCCGCGTCGAGGTGACCGTCGGCACGGACGGGGACCAGGTGCGCTCTGCCTCGCGAGGCCGGAAACGACCACGGGAGAAGGCAGAGGAAGGCCCCGCCTCACGCATGGAGAAGCAGGAGCGCGAAGCCACACGCTCGCGCTCCCATGGTCGCAAAAAGTCATCTGCCCCCCCTCCGCCACTCCCACAGGCCAACACTAGCGCCAGGAGAGCCCCCACCTCCTCCACACCCATGGCCACAGGTAGCAAGGCTGGCACAGGTGAGGCCGCAGCAGGGCCTGTGGCAGGGGAGGGGGATGCGGCAGCACCGGGGGGTCCTGCAGAGGTGGCAGCAGAGATGGGGGTGTGGGAGGTGAAAGTGGGGGTGACGGAGAGGGCGGAGGGGGAAAGATCGGCAGAGACGGTGGGGGCTGGTGAGGACTCAGAGTGGGACGAGGCCGGGGACTCGGATGGGGACAACGCGAAGGACTCGGACTGGGTTTTGGAGGGCGCCGAGGACTCGGATGAGGACGTAGTTGAGCTCATAGCACCCGCTCCTAGTGCAGCCAGGCTCGAGGCCGTGTCCTCAGCAGGGGAGCCAGCGACGGGAGCTGTGGGGTTGGCAGGAGCGGCAGCTGGAGCGGAGGCAGAGGGGGAGGTGGCACGGGCTGGGGTAGAGAGGGCAGCATTAGAGGGTATGGCCCGGGCCTATGCGCAGTCCATGGCCGCATGTGGTGCGGCGCCGGAGGCAGCAGCAGGAGAGGCTGCAGGTGTGGCAACTGCAGGGGCGGTTGCAACAGTGGCAGCCATCAGGACCGCGGCAAAGGAGGCTGCCGCAGGAGTCACCGCAGGGGGTACTCCAGCGGAAGCTGCTATGGCAGAGGCGGAGGCAGGAGAGGCGGCATGGGGGAAGGTGGAAAAGGCGGCTGCAGAGGCGGCAGCAGCACGGGCTGTAGCCGCAGGGGGAGGAACGACAGCCGTGGTGGGAGGGGCGGCTGTGGGGGCTGCCGCAAAGGCCTTTGCAGAAGTGGCAGCAGCTCCAGCACCGGCAGAGGCGCAGGCACCTGGGCCGGTTGCAACGGGGGCGGCAGAGGGAGACCCTGCAGAGGTAGCAGCCGCTGGGGGTGGGGCCGCTCCAGAGTTGGCAGCAGCTGGGGGGGTGGTCGCGGCGGCGGCAGCAGCAGCTGGGGCTGCAGCAGAGACGGTGGCAGCGGGAGCATGGGCAGCGGCGCCAACAGCTGGGGCCTCCGTGGAGGAGGCGGCAGCAATGGATCATGCAAGAGGTGCATCGGCTCGGGCTCGGGCTCGGGATGCGGCAGAGGCAGTAGCAGCAGGGGCCACAGGGGCAGCCGGGGCGGATTTGGGGACAGCAGCAACAGCAGGCGCCCCTGCAGAGGCGGCAAAGGCGGGAGCAGCGGCGGTGCAGGCGGCGACAGCGGCAGGAGCTGGAGCTGCCACCGCAGAGGAGGCAGCAGCAGCCGATCTTGCGAGGGGCGCAGCGACCGGGGCTCGGGATGCCGCAGAGGCGGTGATGGCTGGGGCCGCTGCAGCGGCCAGGGTGGCTGCCGGGGAAGCAGACGAAGGAGTCCCTGCTGAGGCAGCGGGGGCAGGGACAACGGCAGAGGCAGCAGCAGCAGCAGCCGCAGCAGCAGCAACAGGAGCACGTGCAGGGGCGGCTGCTGGTGCGGCAGGGATAGGAGAGCTGCCCGAGGCGGCAGCAGCGGCAAGGCTACCTACGGCGGAGGAGGCAGGAAAGGGAGCTGTTGTACGCGCTCTCGCACGGGCTATTACCGGGGGGGGGATGTATGCACGTCTGGCAGCTGCTGCGGCAGCAGCGGAGGAGGCAGAGATAGGGGCCGCTGCGGGGAAGGCAGCCAGGGGGAGCGCCACAGGGAAACCAGCAGCAAGTGCTGCGGCAGGGAAGGCAGCAGCGGGGGCAGCGGCAGGGAAAGTAGCAATGGGTCCCGCTGTTTCGCAGGCAGCGGCTAGCAGGGCCGCGACAGCGATGGCGGCGGCAGCGGCGGCGGCGGCGGCTGCGGTGGTGTCAGCGGAAAAAGGGGCAGCAGGGGGTGCCGCACCGGGGGCAGTAGCGGAAGCGGCTGCAGGGAAGGTAGCAGCAGGATCAGCAGGGCGTGCCGCGGGGGAGACAACTGCCGGGGTAGCTGCGGGGATGGCAGCAACAGGAAGGGCAGCTGGGGCGGCAGCAGGGAAGGCAGCAACAGCAGCAACACGGGCAGCGGCAAGAGGTGCTGCACGGGAGAGGGCAGCGGGAGCCGCTGCAGGAAGGGCAGCAGCTGCGGCAGCTCCAGCAGGAGGTGTGGTGAGAGAGACAGCAGCCGGAGCGGCTGAAGGTAAGGCAGTAACTGGGACGAGGGCTAAGGAGGCCGGACACAGGGCAGCACCTGGGCCGGAAGAGACTGTCTCATCCCCTCCCACCCCCTCCATCTCCCCCCTCCCCCCCCTCCTTCCCCTCCTCCCCCTACTTCCCTTGCGGTCCCCCGTCCCCCCCTTCCCCCCCTACTCCCAATCCCATGCATGCAGGGGCTTCACCAGCGGCGCAGGGCCCTCGCCGTGGGCTACAACCCAGGGCTATGGGCGGGGCGGCCCGAGCCTTGGCGTTTTTGGCGGACCCCTGTACACCCGAGCCAATGATCGGGACGCAGTCTCACCACTCCCTCTCCCCCCACACCCTCCCCTTACAGCCGAGTGTGCCCCACGAGGCGGCCGCCGAGGATGGCTCGGACAATGATGGCCCGCTCGCCGGATATATCTTGGTCGACTCAACCCTTCCATGCTCTCCCTCATCAGCCCTCGCGCCCGCGCCAGGAGCACAAACAACAGCCGGGCAGGTTGCTCCCTCCCCCTCCCCACCCACGCAGGCTGTCGCGCCGGACGCCTCGACCTGGGTAGCACAAGGAGGGGCGGCTCTTGCCCAACCCCCCTCGTCAGTCCGCCCCCAACCCTGTTCCACCCCAGGTGCCTCCCGCCCAGCATAGGGCACACACCCTGTCGGCCACATGGGCGCTTCCCATAGGAACGGTGAGCGGGGTGCACCCCCGGCAAGGGGGAGCAACCCGAATCAACTCCCTCTCGGCCCTCGCCGTCTCACCCCGGCTGATCCCACTTCCCAAGCCCCACAGCTAAGCTTCGGGCAAGGCGGGGGTCCCTCGGCGCCCACTCTGCTTCCCTTCCCGGCCGTGGGCCCTACCTTGCCCGCGCCCCGCCCCCCCCCTCCCTCTCCCACACATCCCACCCGCCCCCTTTCCCCGGCAATCCAGCCGGAACTCCCCTCGCGCCCTTTCGTGCAGCCCCCAGGTTTCATGTCCCGCACGGCAGGCGACCACGGGAGTGCCTCCCTCTTGGGCCCTCCCTTGTCACTTCCGTCTCACACACCCTCCAGCCCAGCGCTGGGGCACCCACCCTTCCCACCCCCTCCATTGAGCGTCCCACCCACGCTTAACCCTTACCCTAATGCCCAACCACCTCTCTTGCCCTGCCCCCCCACTCCCGCCCGGCCCATCAGCGCGAACAGGGGCGAGGCGAGGGCGGCCCCCCCATCTCACCCTCCCCCTTCCTGCCCCACACACTCCTTGCCCGTCAGTATTCAGGTGGTCGCAGCGAGCCACCCATCCGCGATGGACGTCGACAAAATAGGAGTAGGGGACCTGCATGATGTCTCCTCCCAACCCTACATCCCCCCTTACCGTCGCTCCGCACAGGCAGCGATGTCGGCAGACGCCCAGGGGGAAGGGGACGGGGAAGGTGTCGGGGGAGGGCGGGGCCTCACGGATGGCGCTGCCGATTCCACCACCGCCACCACCCCTCTCTTTCCCCCCCTGTCCCCATCTGCACCCGCCCCAGGGCAGGCCGCCATCCATGCGCAGGCTAGCCCATCGCGGCAAGCGGCCATCGGCGGCCACACCCCCTCACCCTCCCAGCTGCCCCATTCTCACACTCCTCACCCACAGCAGGGGGCGGTCACACGGCAGCCACTGATTGGACAGTTTGCCCAACCCCACACAGGTCGCCGGAAGAAGGGCAAGGGCAAGGGGACACCCGGGGCAGCCCGGCGCTCGGAGCAGCCGGACACGACTCCACCCTCTGCTGGCGCGCAGCCCTTACCAGCCACCACCCCTCAGGCGACCCCATCATTGCCCCCGGCCCGCCACCCACTGCCCTCCCATAACCAGGATGGCGAGCTTCGGACGGTCTCCCTCCCTCGCCCCACCCAGGCCTCACTCCCCTGTCACCCCCCCATCCCGCCCTTGGCCCCCCACCAGACAGTCGCCGCCGATGCCCCATCCGCGATGGAACTCGAACCGGCGGTGGAAGAGGTGTCGTTAGCCTCTCGCAAGCAAGCCTATATCCCCTCCCAGCGTCGGTCCCCACCACCCGCTTCTTTGTCCCCCTCCGGTCCACAACCTCCGACCCAGGTCAGGGCCCACGGTGGTTCGCCCACCACGACCAACCAGCCTGCCCTGCTCCCCCTACCCACAGGCGGACAGTCGCAGGGGGCAGATGGGGAGACGGAGGCGGCAGTTGCCGACCTTCTCAGGATATGGGACGCGTCCGCCACCCCCTCTGCGCCCGCTTGTCCGGGTCGGGTGGGGGGGGGCACCGTGGACCCTGCTCCAGACATCTCCCATGCCCCCCCTTCCCCCCCGTCCACCGCCCTCACACCGGAGCGCATGGTGATCGATGACTCCGACGCGGCCCCCGACCACCCCCTCTGCCCAGACGCGTCCACTGCTCCAGCTGCCCACACCCCAGCTCCTACGTCCCCCGGCGAGGCCACTGAGCTAGCCTGCCATCCAGACGCATGCCCCGCCCTAGCCACTGTCCCCTTGGTCGTACCATCCTCACCCACGCCCGCGCATCCCGCCGTCGCTCCTCCCCCCCGGCCATTGCCTTGCCCGCCCCAGACGCACGGCCCGCCCCCCACTTGGGCCACCGACCTCGGACAGGGGCCCATCGAAGAGGCGGTCGTCGGCGCTGATAGCTCGGAGAGCGCGATGCCTGTCCCCCCGCACGACACAGCGGTGCCGACAGGAGGACTAGCGGTCACGTGTCCTACCTGCCGGAGCACCTTGGTGAGCAGCCACGCTCTTGCTCTCCATGCACCCCATTGCCAGCCCGCCGATGCTCTACGCAGGGCGGAGGCCCTGCAGGATGCCACCTCTTCCCCTCCCTCATTCAGCGAGCCACGCGCCTCCGTCGTCACATTCTCGGACGTCCAGTGGTCGTCCTTGGATGCGGTCGATTGGACGGATTATTTCTCACCGAGACGCATGCATGCTCGCCCGCTCCGGCGTATCCCGCCGAGGGTTCGCGGGGGGTACGTGGATGTCCTCTGCGCGATCTTGCAGCGCATCAGCCAGCACCCCAGGGCGGGCGGGCCGACGTTTCTGCTGTTGGCCATCCCGACCCTCCTCCTCACGCCCGCTACACCACCTGCACGATCACATACGGCGGCCATCACTGCGCGCATTGCGCGCTTCCTTGGTGGAGATTGGGACGCCCTCATAGCAGAGGCGCTCCACCGCCGCACACCCCTCGCGGCATGCACGACACGCCGCGCCCGCGCCGCGACTCCGACGCCTGACGAGCGCCGCATTGCCCGTTGCCTCCACCTGGCAGCGTGCAATGAGACGTCACGTGCTTGTGCGGCCTTGGAGTCGGCAGAGGCGGCCCCGGACGGAGATCAGACGGTGCACCGCCTACGGGCGAAGCACCCTTGCGCGGAGCGCCCCATCCCAGCATGGGTGGCCTCCTTCCGGGATGCAGCCCTGGTCCTGAGCATTGAGCATCTGCGCAGGGCCATTTTCACCGCTCCGAGGGGCTCTTCGGGAGGACCTTCGGGATGGGTGGCCGAGCACTTCCGCGACACCTTCTTGGCCTTCCCAAAGGCCCTCCCTACCTTGCTTGCTGTCTACCAGCAGTGGCTCCGGGGCGACTGCGCCCCGGCCGCACTTCCCATGCTGGCATCATCCACCCTCGTCGCGCTCTCCAAGCCGAACATGGACGTTCGGCCGATAGCCATAGGCGAGGTCCTTGCGCGCCTACTCCAGCGGGCGGCATGCCTGCAGTTGCGCGAGCCGATGGCTCGAGTCTTTCTACCATCACAGCAGTTCGGGGTCGGGGTGACCTGCGGTACTGAGCTGGTCGTTAGGGGCGTCCGTCGCGGCAGGGCGGACCACCCGGACTGGGTGGTCGTCGAGCTCGACGTGGCGAACGCCTTTAACTCGTATCACCGCGATCGCTTGTTCGAGGCACTGCGAGCGAGCTCCGAGTTTCGCTGCCTCATCCCTTTCGTTGCCCTTTTCTACGGCACGCCATCCTCGCTGTTCTTTCGGACCGGGCGAGGAGTCACCACCATCCGCTCAGAGCGAGGATCTCGTCAGGGCGACCCTCTGAGCCCATTTCTCTTTGCCCTGACACAGAGGCTGGCACTGGAGCCAGTGCTGGCGGACGGGGACGTGCAGCTGTGGTCATACGCGGATGACACGTACGTCCTGGGCACACCAGAGAGGGTGTTGCAGAGCTTCACTGCCATTCAGAGGCGCTTGGGCGAGCTGGGCCTCTCGGTCCAGCCGCACAAGTGCCTGGTCTACCCAGCGGCGTCCACACGACCGGAGGAGTTGGCAGGCTTCACCGCCCTCGGCCTCGATGTCGCGCGCCGGGGTTTGACGGTTGCGGGGGTGCCTGTCGGCACGGAGGATTTCGTCCACACGAGACTCAGGGAGCGCCTGGAGCGGATGGCCCGAGTGCTGCCGTGGCTGCCTAGGTTGCGTGACCCCCAGGTGGCTGCGCACCTGCTCTCAGCATGCGTCAGCACGCGCCCTCAGTACCTAGCGCGCACGGTCCCGCCCACACAGGCGGTGCGCTCCATCTTCGCGCGCTGGGACGATGGCCTCGGCGAGGCCTTCCAGCGGCTATTCGTCGCGGGCACCTGGAGCGGAGGAGGAGAGATACGCGGCGCGGCCTTGGACCAGGCATTTCTGCCCATTAGGCTGGGCGGATTCGGCATCCGCCGCATGGCGCGCGCGGCGCCAGCGAGCTACCTCTGCTCCTGGGCGCAGTGCGCCCCCATCCTCTGCTCCCTCCCACAGATCGGTGAGTCCTTCAGACGGGCGCTCGCGGCGGATGACCCCGCAGGGATCGATCCCCACATCGCGACGGCTTTGGCAGACCTCCCACCGGCAGTCCGGGCCTTGCTGCCACCCCTGTCCTCTTGCATCTCGAGCGCGCCGCACGGTCTGTTTTCTGAGGTGATTCGGCACCTAGAGGCGGCGACATTAGAGTCCGTTCGTGGACGTCACACTGACCCTTTGCATCTTGCCCGTTTGACATCCCTTCAGGGCGCAGATGCAGGCGCGTGGCTCATGGCGGTCCCTTATGCAGATCCACTGCGCATCCCGGAGGCGCAGTGGCAGGTGGCTTCATGTTTTCGCCTTGGTCTGTCTATCCCCCAGTTAGCCCTTACAGGTCATTGCTCGTGCGGACGGGAGATCGAGGACATGTCGGTGCCCCACCACGTCGTACGCTGTCAGCACTACCACGTCACCACGACCGTCCACAACGCCGTGAAGTACGTCCTCCGCGACATCGCGCGCGAGGCGGGTTTCGCGGTCAGGGTGGAGGACACGGCGCTCATCCCACACCTGGAGGAGGTGCGACGGCGCTTGACAGCCCAGCAGCAGCGGGAGGGGGCACAGGCGGGAGGGCCTGCGCTGGCACAGGGACGGACACGGACGGGACGGGGGGCACAGAGGGCCCAGGGAGGGGAGGAGGGACTGCAGGGAGGGGGGAGGGACAGCAGGGAGGGGGGGAGGGACAGCAGGGAGGGGGGGAGGGACAACAGGGAAGGGGGGAGGGACAACAGGGGGGGGGGGGGGACAGCAGGGAGGGGGGAGGGCAGCAGGGTGGGGGGAGGGACACGAGGGAGGGGGGGGAGCACCAGGGCGGCAGGGAGTGTTGGGACTGCCGGGACAGTCGGGACAGCAGGCACGGCTGGTGCCGCAGACGCGGGGGACAGAGGCGGGAGTCCTTGGACAGAGGCCACGGCCACAGGGACAGCCCGTTTCACACGGTTGGACGGTACAGCCGCAGCAGCCGCAGCTGAGGGAGGGCCAGGGGAGGTGCGTGGGGCGAGGGAGACGGGGGGCTCAGGAGGGGGGAAGGGCAGATGGGGCTCGGGAGGAAAGGACTCAGGGTACCGCAGGGGAGGGGGGGGCAGCCCGACCACAGGGGGGTGGGGAGGAGGAGATCGAGGAGATAGTCATGGTCGAGGGAGGGGGTCCGATAGCAGGGGACCGAGCACGGGACGGGCCAGAGGCAGCTAGAGGGGCCAGAGGGGGTGTGGAGCTTGATCCCCGCCAGGGGACAGGGGCACAGGAGGGCGAGAGAGTGGCAAGGGGAGGGGGGACAGCTGGGGGGACGGGGGGGGGCGAGGGAGTGGGGAGGACGGGAGGAGCGGGGCAGGTAGATGGAGAGGGTCTGGGGGAGGGGATAGGAGAGGCAGGGGGGTTGGGAGGGGTAGGGGCAAGGGAAAGGGAAGGGAGGGTGAGAGAGGGGGACGAGGGGGGGACAATGGCACAAGGAGGAGGGGGACCAGGGGACACGACTAGGCAGCAGCCCACACTGCAGCACAGCACAGCCGGACGCGCAGGCCGCGCAGGAGCACCCGCACGCATCCCCGACCTCACATGCCGCGACGCTGAGAAGGCACTCATGATTATTATAGACGTGTCGATAGCGGATCCACAGCGGGGTGGGAACGCACAGTTTCGGCGAGCGGCATCCACGCAGCGGGGGGTTGCGGCGACGAGGCGGGTGCAGGAGAAGATCAGGGACTGGCGGCCGGCCTTGGTAGGGGTGCAGCCGGAGCCGATGTTCTATGCGTGCGTTGCTGAGACTTTCGGGCACTTGAGCGTGCCACTGCGAGATTTTCTGGGGCTCTGCTCACGGCGCATAGCGACGCAGCGGTGGGACGCGGGTAGTGGGGAGGAGGCATCGGCTCGGATCTTTGAGTGCGCTCTCACCACGCGAGTTTCAGTGGCGCTGCAGCGTGCGCAGGCGAACATTATCACACAGCATGCAGTGCGACAGCTGGGAGAGTCGGACGATGCATGGATGCCGATACCGGTACCGCTTGGCGCAGGCAGCTAGAGCGGACATCACATCAGTGGCTGCTTTGACAGTGTGGCCGATATGCAGTACCTGTTTGATGGCTATGTGTAGATCAAAACAAGAGTAGGCTGTGCTTGAAACGCTGTGCTGCGCTGTAGGCGCGGGTTGCTGCTTTGTCGTGTCCCTTGGACCCCTCCCTCCTTACAGTCACACCCCTCCTCTCTTCCACCTCTCTCACCTCCCGCTCTCTTTTCCCTTACTCCTATCTTTCTTGATCCTCCTACTTCTTCTATCCTTCTCTTTCTTTCCCTTTCTTTCTACCTTCCCTTCTCTTCTTTTCCTCTCTACTTTCTCTTCTCTTCTTTCCCTTCTCTTCCTAACTTCCAAAAACACTACTGTGGTCGTATAGCGTAACATTCATGCCGAAATTTCCAACTTCGGTTTCATATTGGCTATGTGACTTGTAACTCTCTTCGCTATTAATAAAATAACTGCTCTCGCCCACTGGCTCTTAGCTTCGGAGTTCTGATGGGATCCGGCGTAGTAGCCAAGGTATGATCGTACCACGCTGAGTGCGCGGTCCCTGCTCGCCGTCTCTCCCTCCCCTGCTCGCCGTCCCTCTTGATTTCCTGCCTGCCCTCCCTGTTTTCCCAGCACGTTGTCTCCCATCCCCCTGTTTGACGTCCCCTCCGACCCTGCTCGCCGTCCCCCCCCCATTTTCCCTGCTCAACGTCCCCTCCGCCCCTGCTCGCCATTTGCCCCTGCTCGCCATTTCCCCCCCTGTCTAGCTTGCCACTTTCCCCTTTTCCCAGCTCGCAACTTACCTCTCTCCCCAGCAAGCCACCTTGCCCTCTGTCCAACTCACCGCTTCCCCCTCCCTTGCCGCTGCTCCCCCCCCCCCCTTGGCTGCTGTTTTTCCCCCTCCTTGCCGCGGCTTTTACCCCCCTTTTGCCTGCGGCTTTCCCCCCCGGCTGCTGTTTTTCCCCACGTTGCCCCCTGCTTTTCCACCCTCGCCCGCTCCTTCTCCCCCCTTTCTGCCCGCGGCTTTTCCTCCCATCGCCCGCCGCTTTCCCCCCTTGCCGCTGCTTTCTCCCCTCGCCTTGCCTCTTGCTTTTCCCTCCCTGGCCCCTGCATTTCCCCCCCTTGCCCGCTGTCATTCCCCCCCTTGTCCGCGGCTTTTCCCCCCTGATCGCCACCCCTCCCTTCCCACCTCGCCGTCCCTCTTCATTTCCTGCCCGCCCTCCCTGTTTTCCCTGCTCGTTGTCCCCCATCCCCCGGTTTGACGTCCCCCCCTTTCCCTGCTCGCCGTCCCCCCCCTTCTTTCCCTGCTCAACGTCCCCTCCGCCCCTGCTCACCATTTCCCCCCCTGCCTAGCTTGCCACTTTCCCCTTTCCCGAGCTCGCAACTTACCCCTCTCCCTAGCACGCCACCTCGCCCTCCGTCCAACTCACCGCTTCCCCCTCCCTTGCCGCTGCTCTCCCTCCCCCTCCCTTGCCGCTGCTCCCCCTCCCCCTCCCTTTGGCCGCTGTTTATCCCCCTCCTTGCCGCTGCTTTTACCCCCCTTTTGCCCGCGGCTTTCCCCCCCGGCCGCTGTTTTTCCCCACGTTGCCCCCTGCTTTTCCTTTGCCCGCGGCTTTTCCTCCCATCGCCCGCCGCTTTCCCCCCTTGCGGCTGCTTTCTCCCTTTGTCCGCTGCTTTCCCCCCTCGCCGCTTTCCCCCCTTGCCGCTGCTTTCCCCCCTGTCCCAGACCTCCCCGCCCGCCATACTTTCCTTCCCAGCTCGCCGGCCCCCCTACCTTCCTGCCTGTCCCCCCCGCACTTCTTGTCCGGGCTTCCCCTACTCCCTCTCTGGTCCCCCCTCCTTCCCCGCCTTGCTTCCCCCTACACTCCCTCCAGTTTCCCCCTAGTATCTCCCTGTCTCCCCACCCCTCCCCCCCGTTCTCTGCTATCTCTCCCACTGTTCCCCCGTTGCCTGCCCCCTGTTTCCCCCATCCCACCCCCCGTGCCCACCACCTTTCCCCCCCTGGCCCACTGCTGTTCCCCTCCTTGCCCACTGCTCGTCCCCCCTTGCCCACTCATTTTCTCTCCTTGCCCACTGCTTGTCCCCACGCGCCCCGTGATTTTCCCCCCTTGCCCACTCATCTTCCCCCCGTGCCCACTGCTTTTCCCCTCTTCTCCCACTGATTTCCCCCCCCGTGCCCACTGCCTCTCCCCCTGGCCCACTGCTGTTCCCCCCCTTGCCTTCTATTTTTCTCCTTGCTGCCCACTGCTACTTTTCCCCCCTGCCTTCCCCCGCTTGCCCCCTGCTTTTCTGCCACTTGCCCGCTGCTGTTCCCCCCCTGGTAGCTGCCCTTTCCCCACTTGCCGCTGCCTTTCCCCCCTTGGCGGCTGTTTTTCCCCTCTTTGCCCGCCGTTTTTCCCCCTCTTTCGCGGCTGTTTGTCCCCCCTTCGCCCGCCGCTTTTCCCCGCCTTGCCCGCTTCATTTCCCCCGCCCCTTCTGGCCCGCCGCTTTTCCCCACTTGCCGCTGCTTTTCGCCCCTTGCCGCTGCTTTTCCCCCCCTGCCGCTGCTTTTCTCCTCGTTGCCCGCCGCTTTTCACCCCTTGTCGCTGTTTTTCCCCCCCTTGCCTTCTATTTTTCTCCTTGCTGCCCACTGCTACTTTTCCCCGCTGCCTTCCCCCACTTGCCCCCTGTTTTTCCCCCACTTGCCCGCTGCTGTTCCCCCCCTTGCTGCCGCTTTTTCCCCCCTTGCCGCTGCCTTTCCTCCCCTTGGCGGCTGTTTTTGCCCTCTTCGCCCGCCGTTTTTCCCCCCTCTTTCGCGGCTAATTGTCCCCCCTTCGCCCGCCGCTTTTCCCCGCCTCGCCCGCTTCATTTCCCCCGCCCCTTCTTGCCCGCCGCTTTTCCCCACTTGCCGCCGCTTTTCGCCCCTTGCCGCTGCTTTTCCCCCCCTGCCGCTGCTTTTCTCCTCGTTGCCCGCCGCTTTTCACCCCTTGTCGCTGTTTTTCCCCCCCTTGCCTTCTATTTTTCTCCTTGCTGCCCACTGCTACTTTTCCCCGCTGCCTTCCCCCACTTGCCCCCTGTTTTTCCCCCACTTGCCCGCTGCTGTTCCCCCCCTTGCTGCCGCTTTTTCCCCCCTTGCCGCTGCCTTTCCTCCCCTTGGCGGCTGTTTTTGCCCTCTTCGCCCGCCGTTTTTCCCCCCTCTTTCGCGGCTAATTGTCCCCCCTTCGCCCGCCGCTTTTCCCCGCCTCGCCCGCTTCATTTCCCCCGCCCCTTCTTGCCCGCCGCTTTTCCCCACTTGCCGCCGCTTTTCGCCCCTTGCCGCTGCTTTTCCCCCCCTGCCGCTGCTTTTCTCCTCGTTGCCCGCCGCTTTTCACCCCTTGTCGCTGTTTTTCCCCCCCTTGCCTTCTATTTTTCTCCTTGCTGCCCACTGCTACTTTTCCCCGCTGCCTTCCCCCACTTGCCCCCTGTTTTTCCCCCACTTGCCCGCTGCTGTTCCCCCCCTTGCTGCCGCATTTTCCCCCCTTGCCGCTGCCTTTCCTCCCCTTGGCGGCTGTTTTTCCCCTCTTCGCCCGCCATTTTTCCCCCCTCTTTCGCGGCTGTTTGTCCCCCTTTGCCCGCCGCTTTTCCCCGCCTTGCCCGCTTCATTTCCCCCGCCCCCTCTTGCCCGCCGCTTTTCCCCACTTGCCGCTGCTTTTCGCCCCTTGCCGCTGCTTTCCCCCCTGCTGCTGCTTTTCCCCCCTGCCGCTGCTTTTCTCCTCTTTGCCTGCTGCTTTTCACCCCTTGTCGCCGTTTTTCCCCCCCTTTTGCCGCTGCTTCCCCCACCCCTCGCCCACTGCTTTTTCCCTGCCCTGCCCGTTGCATTTCTCCTCTTTACCCCTGCCCTCCCCCCCCTTACCCGCTGTTATCTCCCCCCCTGTCCGTTGCTGTTCCCCCCCTTTTTGCCCGCTGCTGTCCCCCCCCCATACCCGTGGCCCTTCCCACCCTTGCCCGCTGCCTTTCCCCCCCTTGCCGCTCCTCTTCCCCCCTTGCTCACGTCTTCTCCCCCCTTTGCCCTTGCTTTACCCTCCCTTGCCCCTGCTTTCCCCCCCCTTTTTGCCTGCTGTTATTCGCCCATTGCCTGCTGCTTTTCCCCTGGTCCGCTGCTTCTCCCCCCTTGCCCGCTGCTATTCCCCCCCTGGCCCGCTGCTTTTTCCCCTGCCCGTTTTGCGGCCCATTGGTCCCACCCATCCTTCGGTCCTCCCTCCACTCCCGACCCTCTCCTTTGACTGCCCAGTTCCCCCCACATTCTCCCATTTTCCTCGTGTTCCTCCCTTCCTTCTCCCCTTGGCTCCCCCATTCTTATCCCCTCCCGCTCTCCCCTACTGTTCCTCGTTGTTTCCCCCCCGTATTCTATCCTGCTTTCCTCTCCTTTCCCCCTGTTTCCCTCCCTCTCCCCCTTGCCCACGATTTCTCCCCCTTGCCCACTACTTCTCCCCCATTGCCCACTGCTTCTCCCCCCCTTGCCCACGATTTCTCCCCCATTGCCCACTGCCTTTCCCCCCTTGCCCACCACTTCTTCTCGTTTGCCAACTGCTGTTCCCCTCCTTGCCCTCTACTCTTCCCCCGTTGCCCACCGACTTTCCCCCTAGCCCGCTGATTTCCCCCCCTTACCCGTTGCTCTTCGCCTCTTTGTCCAGTGCGTTTCTCCCCTTCCCTCACTGCTTTTCTGCCCCCTGCCCTTTGACTTTCCCCTCCTTGCTTCCACCAAATCACACGTCAGTTTCCTCCCTCCAAATCTTCCCGCTCCACACCCTGTGCTCTTCACTCTTCCCCCCCCTCCCCTTCCACGTCCCCCCTCTCCCTGCAGGCTGTTTCCTTCCATCTTGTCCACTTCCCGTTTTCCCACCTTCCCCCCGTACGCCTCCCCACAGTCGAGCTCCATAACCCGCCTATAATCGCTGCCCCCTGTTCTTTCCCTAACCTCCCCCCCCCTTTCCCCCTCCCGACTCCACGCAGTTTCTCTGATTTCACCTTCTTGCCCCGCTGTTTTCCTCCCTCCCTTCCCCCCTGGCTTCCCCCTCCTCCCCTTCTTCTAGCATGCAGCCCCCGTGGCCATGACCCACACCCCCTGCAATGGGGGGGAGGGCGGCCCCGGTGCACTCCGCCGGTCAGGCAGAGCCGGTACCCGCCCTTCCCCCTACTCATCGCCTTCCATCCCCCCACCCAACAGTATCGCCCCGCCAGCCCGAGTCGAGGTGACCGTCGGCAAGGGCGGGGACCAGGTGCGCTCTGCCTCGCGAGGCGAGAAACGACCACGGGAGAAGGCAGAGGAAGGCCATGCCTCACGCCTGGAGAAGCAGGAGCGCGAAGCCACACGCTCGCGCTCCCATGGTCGCAAAAAGTCATCTGCCCCCCCTCCGCCACTCCCACAGGCCAACACTAGCGCCAGGAGAGCCCCCAACTCCTCCACACCCACGGCCACAGTTAGCAAGGCTGGCACAGGTGAGGCCACAGCAGGGCCTGTGGCAGGGGTTGGGGATGCGACAGCACCGGGGGGTCCCGCAGAGGCGGCAGTAGAGGTGGGGGTGTGGGAGGGGAAAGAGGGGGTGACGGAGAGGGCAGAGGGGGAAAGATCCGCGGAGTCGGTGGGGGCTGGTGAGGACTCGGACTGGGACGAGGCTGAGGACTCGGATGGGGATGACGTGAAGGACCCGCATTGGGTTTTGGATGGTGCTGAGGATTCGGACGAGGACGTAGTCGAGTTTATAGCACCTGCAGCCAGGCTCGAGGCCGCGTCCTCAGCAGGGGAGCCAGCGACCGGAGGGGGAGGAACGACTGCCGTGGTAGGAGGGGCGGCTGTGGGGGCTGCTGCAAAGGCCTTTGCAGAAGGGGCAGAAGCTCCGGCACTGGCAGAGGCGCGGGCATCTGGGCCGGCTGCAGCGGGGGCGGCAGAAGGAGACCCTGCGGAGGCAGCAGCCGCTAGGGGTGTGGCCGCTCCAGAGGTGGCAGCAGCCGGGGGGGTGGTTGCTGCGGCGGCAGAAGCAGCTGGGGCTGCTGCAGAGGCAGGGGCAGCGGGAGCATGGGCGGCGGTGGCGACAGCTGGGGCCTCCGCGGAGGTGGAAGCAGAGGATCATGCACGGGGTGCATCGGCTCGGGCTCGGGATGCGGCAGAGGCAGCAGCAGCAGGGGCTTCAGCGGCCGCAAGGGCAGCCAGGGCTGATCTGGGGGCAGCAGCGGCAACAGGCGGCCCTGCAGAGGTGGCAGAGGTGGGAGCTGCGGAGAAGGTGGCAGCAGCAGTAGCTGGGGCTGCCACCGCAGAGGAGGCAGCAGAGGATGCAGAAGCAGGCGATCTTGCGAGGGGCGCAGCGACCGGGGCTCGGGATGCCGCGGAGGCGGGGATGGCAGGGGCCGCTGCAGCGGCTAGGGTGGATGCCGGGGAAGTAGCCGAAGGAGCCCCTGTGGAAGCGGTGGGGGCAGGGACAACGGCAGTGGAAGCAGCAGCAGCAGCAGCAGCAGCAGCAGCAACAGGAGCACGCGCAGGGGCGGCTGCTGGAGCGGCAGGGATAGGAGAGCCGCCGGAGGCGGCAGCAGCGGCAAGGCTACCTACGGCGGAGGAGGCAGGAAAGGGAGCTGTTGTACGCGCTCTCGCACGGGCTATTACCGGGGGGGGGATGTATGCACGTCTGGCAGCTGCTGCGGCAGCAGCGGAGGAGGCAGAGATAGGGGCCGCTGCGGGGAAGGCAGCCAGGGGGAGCGCCACAGGGAAACCAGCAGCAAGTGCTGCGGCAGGGAAGGCAGCAGCGGGGGCAGCGGCAGGGAAAGGAGCAATGGGTCCCGCTGTTTCGCAGGCAGCGGCTAGCAGGGCCACGACAGTAGCGGCGGCGGCAGCGGCGGCGGCGGCTGCGGCGGTGTCAGCAGAAAAAGGGGCAGCAGGGGGTGCCGCACCGGGGGCAGCAGCGGAAGCGGCAGCAGGGAAGGCAGCAGCAGGATCAGCAGGGCGTGCCGCGGGGGAGACAACCGCCGGGGTAGCTGCGGGGATGGCAGCAACAGGAAGGGCAGCTGGGGCGGCAGCAGGGAAGGCAGCAACAGCAGCAACACGGGCAGCGGCAAGAGGTGCTGCACGGGAGAGGGCAGCTGGAGCCGCTGCAGGAAGGGCAGCAGCTGCGGCAGCTCCAGCAGGAGGTGTGGTGAGAGAGACAGCAGCCGGAGCGGCTGAAGGTAAGGCAGTAACTGGGACGAGGGCTAAGGAGGCCGGACACAGGGCAGCACCTGGGCCGGAAGAGACTGTCTCATCCCCTCCCACCCCCTCCATCTCCCCCCTCCCCCCCCCTCCTTCCCCTCCTCCCCCTACTTCCCTTGCGGTCCCCCGTCCCCCCCTTCCCCCCCCTACTCCCAATCCCATGCATGCAGGGGCTTCACCAGCGGCGCAGGGCCCTCGCCGTGGGCTACAACCCAGAGCTATGGGTGGGGCGGCCCGAGCCTTGGCGTTTTTGGCGGACCCCTGTACACCCGAGCCAATGATCGGGACGCAGTCTCAGCACTCCCTCTCCCCCCACACCCTCCCCTTACAGCCGAGTGTGCCCCACGAGGCGGCCGCCAAGGATGGCACGGACAATGATGGCCCGCTCGCCGGATATATCTTGGTCGACTCAACCCTTCCATGCTCTCCCTCATCAGCCCTCGCGCCGGCGCGAGGAGCACAAACAACAGCTGGGCAGGTTGCTCCCTCCCCCCCCCACCCACGCAGGCGGCCGCGCCGGACGCCTCGACTTGGGTAGCACAAGGAGGGGCGGCTCTTGCCCAACCCCCCTCGTCAGTCCGCCCCCAACCCAGTTCCACCCCAGGTGCCTCCCGCCCGGCACAGGGCGCACACCCTGTTGGCCACACGGGCGCTTCCCATAGGAACGGTGAGCGGGGTGCACCCCCGGCAAGGGGGAGCAACCCGAATCAACTCCCTCTCGGCCCTCGCCGTCTCACCCCGGCTGATCCCACTTCCCAAGCCCCACAGCTAAGCTTCGGGCAAGGCGGGGGTCCCTCGGCGCCCACTCTGCTTCCCTTCCCGGCCGTGGGCCCTACCTTGCTCGCGCCCCGCCCCCCCCCTCCCTCTCCCACACATTCCACCCGCCCCCTTTCCCCGGCAATCCAGCCGGAACTCCCCTCGCGCCCTTTCGTGCAGCCCCCAGGTTTCATGTCCCGCACGGCAGGCGACCACGGGAGTGCCTCCCTCTTGGGCCCTCCCTTGTCACTTCCGTCTCACACACCCTCCAGCCCAGCGCTGGGGCACCCACCCTTCCCACCCCCTCCCTTGAGCGTCCCACCCACGCTTAACCCTTACCCTACGGCCCAACAACCTCTCTTTCCCTGCCCCCTCACTCCCGCCCGGCCCATCAGTGCGAACAGGGGCGAGGCGAGGGCGCCCCCCCCATCTCACCCTCCCCCTTCCTGCCCCACACACTCCTTGCCCGTCAGTATTCAGGTGGTCGCAGCGAGCCACCCATCCGCGATGGACGTCGACAAAAGGGGAGTAGGGGACCTGCATGATATCTCCTCCCAACCCTACATCCCCCCTTACCGTCGCTCCGCACAGGCAGCGATGTCGGCAGATGCCCAGGGGGAAGGGGACGGGGAGGGTGTCGGGGGAGGGCGGGGCATCGCAGATGGTGCTGCCAATTCCACCATCGCCACCACCCCTCTCTTTCCCCCCCTGTCCCCATCTGCACCCGCCTCAGGGCAGGCCGCCATCCATGCGCAGGCTAGCCCATCGCGGCAGGCGGCCATCGGCGGCCACACCCCCTCACCCTCCCAGCTGCCCCATTCCCACACTCCTCACCCACAGCAGGGGGCGGTCACACGGCAGCCACTGATTGGACAGTTTGCCCAACCCCACACAGGTCGCCGGAAGAAGGGCAAGGGCAAGGGGACACCCGGGGCAGCCCGGCGCTCGGAGCAGCCGGACACGACTCCACCCTCTGCTGGCGTGCAGCCCTTACCATCCACCACCCCTCAGGCGACCCCATCATTGCCCCCGGCCCGCCACCCACTGCCCTCCCATAACCAGGATGGCGAGCTTCGGACGGTCTCCCTCCCTCACCCCACCTAGGCCCCACTCCCCTGTCACCCCCCCATCCCGCCCTTGGCCCCCCACCAGACAGTCGCCGCCGATGCCCCATCCGATGGAAATCGAACCAGAGGTGGAAGAGGTGTCGTTAGCCTCTCGCAAGCAAGCCTATATCCCCCCCCAGCGTCGGTCCCCACCACCCGCTTCTTTGTCCCCCTCCGGTCCACAACCTCCCACCCAGGTCAGGGCCCACGGCGGTTCGCCCACCACGACCAACCAGCCTGCCCTGCTCCCCCTACCCACAGGCGGACAGTCGCAGGGGGCAGATGGGGAGACGGAGGCGGCAGTTGCCGACCTTCTCAGGATATGGGACGCGTCCGCCACCCCCTCTGCGCCCGCTTGTCCGGGTCGGGTGGGGGGGGGCACCGTGGACCCTGCTCCAGACATCTCCCATGCCCCCCCTTCCCCCCCGTCCACCGCCCTCACACCGGAGCGCATGGTGATCGATGACTCCGACGCGGCCCCCGACCACCCCCTCTGCCCAGATGCGTCCATTGCTCCAGCTGCCCACACCCCAGTTCCTACGTCCCCCGGCGAGGCCACTGAGCTAGCCTGCCATCCGGACGCATGCCCCGCCCTGGTCACTGTCCCCCAGGTCTTACCATCCTCACCGACGCCCGCGCATCCCGCCGTCACTCCTCCCCCCCGGCCATTGCCTTGCCCGCCCCAGACGCACGGCCCGCCCCCCACTTGGGCCACCGACCTCGGACAGGGGCCCATCGAAGAGGCGGTCGTCGGCGCTGACGGCTCGGAGAGCACGATGCCAGTCCCCCTGCACGACACAGCGGTGCCGACAGGAGGACTAGCGGTCACGTGTCCTACCTGCCGGAGCACCTTGGTGAGCAGCCACGCTCTTGCTCTCCATGCACCCCATTGCCAGCCCGCCGATGCTCTACGCAGGGCTGAGGCCCTTCAGGATGCCACCTCTTCCCCTCCCTCATTCAGCGAGCCACGCGCCTCCGTCGTCACATTCTCGGACGTCCAGTGGTCGTCCTTGGATGCGGTCGATTGGACGGATTATTTCTCACCGAGACGCATGCATGCTCGCCCGCTCCGGCGTATCCCGCCGAGGGTTCGCGGGGGGTACGTGGATGTCCTCTGTGCGATCTTGCAGCGCATCAGCCAGCACCCCAGGGCGGGTGGACCGACGTTTCTGCTGTTGGCCATCCCGACCCTCCTCCTCACGCCAGCTACACCACCTGCACGATCACATACGGCGGCCATCACTGCGCGCATTGCGCGCTTCCTTGGTGGAGATTGGGACGCCCTCATAGCAGAGGCACTCCACCGCCGCACATCCCTCGCGGCATGCACGACACGCCGCGCCCGCGCCGCGACTCCGACGCCTGACGAGCGCCGCATTGCCCGTTGCCTCCGCCTGGCAGCGTGCAATGAGACGTCACGTGCTTGTGCGGCCTTGGAGTCGGCAGAGGCGGCCCCGGACGGAGATCAGACGGTGCACCGCCTACGGGCGAAGCACCCTTGCGCGGAGCGCCCCATCCCAGCATGGGTGGCCTCCTTCCGGGATGCAGCCCTGGTCCTGAGCATTGAGCATCTGCGCAGGGCCATTTTCACCGCTCCGAGGGGCTCTTCGGGAGGACCTTCGGGATGGGTGGCCGAGCACTTCCGCGACACCTTCTTGGCCTTCCCGAAGGCCCTCCCTACCTTGCTTGCTGTCTACCAGCAGTGGCTCCGGGGCGACTGCGCCCCGGCCGCACTTCCCATACTGGCATCATCCACCCTCGTCGCGCTCTCCAAGCCGAACATGGACGTTCGGCCGATAGCCATAGGGGAGGTCCTTGCGCGCCTACTCCAGCGGGCGGCATGCCTGTAGTTGCGCGAGTCGATGGCTCGAGTCTTCCTACCATCACAGCAGTTCGGGGTCGGGGTGACCTGCGGTACTGAGCTGGTCGTTAGGGGCGTCCGTCGCGGCAGGGCGGACCACCCGGACTGGGTGGTCGTCGAGCTCGACGTGGCGAACGCCTTTAACTCGTATCACCGCGATCGCTTGTTCGAGGCACTGCGAGCGAGCTCCGAGTTTCGCTGCCTCATCCCTTTCGTTGCCCTTTTCTACGGCACGCCATCCTCGCTGTTCTTTCGGACCGGGCGAGGAGTCACCACCATCCGCTCAGAGCGAGGATCTCGTCAGGGCGACCCTCTGAGCCCATTTCTCTTTGCCCTGACACAGAGGCTGGCACTGGAGCCAGTGCTGGCGGACGGGGACGTGCAGCTGTGGTCATACGCGGATGACACGTACGTCCTGGGCACACCAGAGAGGGTGTTGCAGAGCTTCACTGCCATTCAGAGGCGCTTGGGCGAGCTGGGCCTCTCGGTCCAGCCGCATAAGTGCCTGGTCTACCCAGCGGCGTCCACACGACCGGAGGAGTTGGCAGGCTTCACCGCCCTCGGCCTCGATGTCGCGCGCCGGGGTTTGACGGTTGCGGGGGTGCCTGTCGGCACGGAGGATTTCGTCCACACGAGACTCAGGGAGCGCCTGGAGCGGATGGCCCGAGTGCTGCCGTGGCTGCCTAGGTAGCGTGACCCCCAGGTGGCTGCGCACCTGCTCTCAGCATGCGTCAGCACGCGCCCTCAGTACCTAGCGCGCACGGTCCCGCCCACACAGGCGGTGCGCTCCATCTTCGCACGCTGGGACGATGGCCTCGGCGAGGCCTTCCAGCGGCTATTCGTCGCGGGCACCTGGAGCGGAGGAGGAGAGATACGCGGCGCGGCCTTGGACCAGGCATTTCTGCCCATTAGGCTGGGCGGATTCGGCATCCGCCGCATGGCGCGCGCGGCGCCAGCGAGCTACCTCTGCTCCTGGGCGCAGTGCGCCCCCATCCTCTGCTCCCTCCCACAGATCGGTGAGTCCTTCAGACGGGCGCTCGCGGCGGATGACCCCGCAGGGATCGATCCCCACATCGCGACGGCTTTGGCAGACCTCCCACCGGCAGTCCGGGCCTTGCTGCCACCCCTGTTTTCTTGCATCTCGAGCGCGCCGCACGGTCTGTTTTCTGAGGTGAGTCGGCACCTAGAGGCGGCGGCATTAGAGTCCGTTCGTGGACGTCACACTGACCCTTTGCATCTTGCCCGTTTGACATCCCTTCAGGGCGCAGATGCAGGCGCGTGGCTCACGGCGGTCCCTTATGCAGATCCACTGCGCATCCCGGAGGCGCAGTGGCAGGTGGCTTCATGTTTTCGCCTTGGTCTGTCTATCCCCCAGTTAGCCCTTACAGGTCATTGCTCGTGCGGACGGGAGATCGAGGACATGTCGGTGCCCCACCACGTCGTACGCTGTCAGCACTACCACGTCACCACGACCGTCCACAACGCCGTGAAGTACGTCCTCCGCGACATCGCGCGCGAGGCGGGTTTCGCGGTCAGGGTGGAGGACACGGCGCTCATCCCACACCTGGAGGAGGTGCGACGGCGCTTGACAGCCCAGCAGCAGCGGGAGGGGGCACAGGCGGGAGGGCCTACGCTGGCACAGGGACGGACACGGACAGGACGGGGGGCACAGAGGGCCCAGGGAGGGGAGGAGGGACTGCAGGGAGGGGGGGAGGGACAGCAGGGAGGGGGGGAGGGACAGCAGGGAGGGAGGGGGGGACAGCAGGGAGGGGGGGAGGGACAGCCGGGGGGGGGGGGGGACAGCAGGGAGGGGGGGAGGGGCAGCAGGGTGGGGGGGAGGGACAGCAGGGAGGGGGGGGGGGGACAGCAGGGAGGGGGGGAGGGACACGAGGGAGGGGGGGGAGCACCAGGGCGGCAGGGAGTGTTGGGACTGCCGGGACAGTCGGGACAGCAGGCACGGCTGGTGCCGCAGACGCGGGGGACAGAGGCGGGAGTCCTTGGACAGAGGCCACGGCCACAGGGACAGCCCGTTTCACACGGTTGGACGGTACAGCCGCAGCAGCCGCAGCTGAGGGAGGGCCAGGGGAGGCGCTTGGAAGGAGGGAGACGGGGGGAAGGGCGGATGGGGCTCGGGAGGAAAGGACTCAGGGTACCGCAGGGGAGGGGGGGGCAGCCCGACCACAGGGGGGTGGGGAGGAGGAGATCGAGGAGATAGTCATGGTCGAGGGAGGGGGTCGGATAGCAGGGGACCGAGCACGGGACGGGCCAGAGGCAGCTAGAGGGGCCAGAGGGGGTGTGGAGCTTGATCCCCACCAGGGGACAGGGGCACAGGAGGGCGAGAGAGTGGCAAGGGGAGGGGGGACTGCAGGGGGGACGGGGGGGGGCGAGGGAGTGGGGAGGACGGGAGGAGCGGGGCAGGTAGATGGAGAGGGTCTGGGGGAGGGGATAGGAGAGGCAAGGGAGTTGGGAGGGGTAGGGGCAAGGGAAAGGGAAGGGAGGGTGAGAAAGGGGGACGAGGGGGGGACAATGGCACAAGGAGGAGGGGGACCAGGGGACACGACTAGGCAGCAGCCCACACTGCAGCACAGCACAGCCGGACGCGCAGGCCGCGCAGGAGCACCCGCACGCATCCCCGACCTCACATGCCGCGACGCTGAGAAGGCACTGATGATTATTATAGACGTGTCGATAGCGGATCCACAGCGGGGTGGGAACGCACAGTTTCGGCGAGCGGCATCCACACAGCGGGGGGTGGCGGCGACGAGGCGGGTGCAGGATAAGATCAGGGACTGGCGGCCGGCCTTGGTAGGGGTGCAGCCGGAGCCGATGTTCTATGCGTGCGTTGCTGAGACTTTCGGGCACTTGAGCGCGCCACTGCGAGATTTTCTGGGGCTTCGCTCACAGCGCATAGCGACGCAGCGGCGAGACGCGAGTAGTGGGGAGGAGGCATCGGCTCGGATCTTTGAGTGCGCTCTCACCACGCAAGTTTCAGTGGCTGCATTGACAGTGTGGCCGATATGCAGTACCTGTTTGATGGCTATGTGTAGATCAAAACAAGAGTAGGCTGTGCTTAAAACGCTGTGTCTGCGCTGTAGGCGCGGGTTGCTGCTTTGTCGTGTCCCTTGGACCCCTCCCTCATTACAGTCACACCCCCTCTCTCGTCCACCTCTCTCACCTCCCTCTTTCTTTTCCCTTACTCCCATCTTTCTCGATCCTCCTACTTCTTCTATCCTTCTCTTTCTTTCCCTCTCTTTCTACCTTCCCTTCTCTTCTTTTCCTCTCTACTTTCTCTTCTCTTCTTTCCCTTCTCTTCCTAACTTCCAAAAACACTACTGTGGTCGTATAGCGTAACATTCATGCCGAAATTTCCAACTTCGATTGCATATTGGCTATATGACTTGTAACTCTCTTTGTTATTAATAAAATAACTGCTCTCGCCCACTGGCGCTTAGCTTCAGAGTTCTGATGGGATCCGGCGTAGTAGCCAAGGTATGATCGTACCACGCTGAGTGCGCGGGGCGCTCACTACCGGGTGGCCCCCGAGCTACACTACCCTTCATTATAGTCACATCGCCCCGGCACGAGCCAAAAGGGATCCTCTGTCCGCCCGCACCCCCCGGAACGCCGCTAAGATGGTTTGAGGGCTCCTCCGTGGCCGACCCCCGTCGATCTCGCCATCCCACCCCGGCTAAGTCCCCTGTCACTCTCGCTCGCCTCCCACCCTCCTCCCTCTCTCTCTTCTAGTTCGCCGCGTCGCGCTTTTCTCAGCTTTCTAGTTTCTAAGCTTAGATCGCCACGCCACCTAACCCTAAAATCGGTCGCTAGCACCAGTTCGTTTTTTCGTTCGTTACAGCGTCCTCTCTCCCCCTCTCACTTAGCGCACCCTTCGTGTATTCCCTGGCGCGCCGTCCCCGTATGTCGTTACCGCGCGAAACTAGGCCAACACTAGCGCCAGGAGAGCCCCCACCTCCTCCACACCCATGGCCACAGGTAGCAAGGCTGGCACAGGTGAGGCCGCAGCAGGGCCTGTGGCAGGGGAGGGGGATGTGGCAGCACCGGGGGGTCCTGCAGTGGTGGCAGCAGAGATGGGGGTGTGGGAGGTGAAAGTGGGGGTGACGGAGAGGGCGGAGGGGGAAAGATCGGCAGAGACGGTGGGGGCTGGTGAGGACTCAGAGTTGGACGAGGCCGAGGACTCGGATGGGGACAACGCGAAGGACTCGGACTGGGTTTTGGAGGGCGCCGAGGACTCGGATGAGGACGTAGTTGAGCTCATAGCACCCGCTCCTAGTGCAGCCAGGCTCGAGGCCGTGTCCTCAGCAGGGGAGCCAGCGACGGGAGCTGTGGGGTTGGCAGGAGCGGCAGCTGGAGCGGAGGCGGAGGGGGAGGTGGCACGGGCTGGGGTAGAGAGGGCAACATTAGAGGGTATGGCCCGGGCCTATGCGCGGTCCATGGCCGCATGTGGTGCGGCGCCGGAGGCAGCAGCAAGAGAGGCTGCAGGTGTGGCAACTGCAGGGGCGTTTGCAACAGTGGCAGCCATCAGGACCGCGGCAAAGGAGGCTGCCGCAGGAGTCACCGCAGGGGGTACTCCAGCGGAAGCTGCTATGGCAGAGGCGGAGGCAGGAGAGGCTGCATGGGGGAAGGTGGAAAAGGCGGCTGCAGAGGCGGCAGCAGCACGGGCTGTAGCCGCAGGGGGAGGAACGACAGCCGTGGTGGGAGGGGTGGCTGTGGGGGCTGCCGCAAAGGCCTTTGCAGAAGTGGCAGCAGCTCCAGCACTGGCAGAGGCGCAGGCACCTGGGCCGGCTGCAACGGGGGCGGCAGAAGGAGACCCTGCAGAGGTAGCAGCCGCTGGGGGTGGGGCCGCTCCAGAGGTGGCAGCAGCCGGGGGGGTGGTCGCGGCGGCGGCAGCAGCAGCTGGGGCTGCAGCAGAGACGGTGGCAGCGGGAGCATGGGCAGCGGCGGCAACAGCTGGGGCCTCCGCGGAGGAGGCGGCAGCAGTGGATCATGCAAGGGGTGCATCGGCTCGGGCTCAGGCTCGGGCTCGGGATGCGGCAGAGGCAGCAGCAGCAGGGGCCGCAGGGGCAGCCGGGGCGGATTTGGGGACAGCAGCAACAGCAGGCGCCCCTGCAGAGGCGGCAGAGGCGGCAGAGGCGGGAGCAGCGGCGGTGCGGGCGGCGACAGTGGCAGGAGCTGGAGGTGCCACCGCAGCGGAGGCAGCAGCAGCCGATCTTGCGAGGGGCGCAACGACCGGGGCTCGGGATGCTGCAGAGGCGGTGATGGCTGAAGCTGCTGCAGCGGCCAGGGTGGCTGCCGGGGAAGCAGAAGCAGACGAAGGAGTCCCTGCTGAGGCGGCGGGGGCGGGGACAACGGCAGAGGCGGCAGCAGCAGCAGCGGCAGCAGCAGCAACAGGAGCACGTGCAGGGGCGGCTGCTGGTGCGGCAGGGATAGGAGAGCCGCCGGAGGCGGCAGCAGCGGCAAGGCTACCTACGGCGGAGGAGGCAGGAAAGGGAGCTGTTGTACGCGCTCTCGCACGGGCTATTACCGGGGGGGGGATGTATGCACGTCTGGCAGCTGCTGCGGCAGCAGCGGAGGAGGCAGAGATAGGGGCCGCTGCGGGGAAGGCAGCCAGGGGGAGAGCCGCAGGGAAACCAGCAGCAAGTGCTTTGGCAGGGAAGGCAGCAGCGGGGGCAGCGGCAGGGAGAGTAGCAATGGGTCCCGCTGTTTCGCAGGCAGCGGCTAGCAGGGCCGCGACAGCGGCGGCGGCGGCGGCGGCAGCGGCAGCGGCGGCGGCGGCCGCGGTGGTGTCAGCGGAAAAAGGGGCAGCAGGGGGTGCCGCACCGGGGGCAGCAGCGGCAGCGGAAGCGGCTGCAGGGAAGGCAGCAGCAGGATCAGCAGGGCGTGCCACGGGGGAGACAACCGCCGGGGTAGCTGCGGGGATGGCAGCAACAGGAAGGGCAGCTGGGGCGGCAGGAGGGAAGGCAGCAACAGCAGCAACACGGGCAGCGGCAAGAGGTGCTGCACGGGAGAGGGCAGCTGGAGCCGCTGCAGGAAGGGCAGCAGCTGCGGCAGCTCCAGCAGGAGGTGTGGTGAGAGAGACAGCAGCCGGAGCGGCTGAAGGTAAGGCAGTAACTGGGACGAGGGCTAAGGAGGCCGGACACAGGGCAGCACCTGGGCCGGAAGAGACTGTCTCATCCCCTCCCACCCCCCCCATCTCCCCCCTCCCCCCCCCTCCTTCCCCTCCTCCCCCTACTTCCCTTGCGGTCCCCCGTCCCCCCCTTCCCCCCCCTACTCCCAATCCCATGTATGCAGGGGCTTCACCAGCGGCGCAGGGCCCTCGCCGTGGGCTACAACCCAGGGCTATGGGCGGGGCGGCCCGAGCCTTGGCGTTTTTGGCGGACCCCTGTACACCCGAGCCAATGATCGGGACGCAGTCTCACCACTCCCTCTCCCCCCACACCCTCCCCTTACAGCCGAGTGTGCCCCACGAGGCGGCCGCCGAGGATGGCTCGGACAATGATGGCCCGCTCGCCGGATATATCTTGGTCGACTCAACCCTTCCATGCTCTCCCTCATCAGCCCTCGCACCGGCGCCAGGAGCACAAACAACAGCCGGGCAGGTTGCTCCCTCCCCCCCCTCACCCACGCAGGCTGCTGCGCCGGACGCCCCGACCTGGGTAGCACAAGGAGGGGCGGCTCTTGCCCAACCCCCCTCGTCAGTCCGCCCCCAACCCTGTTCCACCCCAGGTGCCTCCCGCCCGGCACAGGGCACACACCCTGTCGGCCACACGGGCGCTTCCCATAAGAACGGTGAGCGGGGTGCACCCCCGGCAAGGGGGAGCAACCCGAATCAACTCCCTCTCGGCCCTCGCCGTCTCACCCCGGCTGATCCCACTTCCCAAGCCCCACAGCTAAGCTTCGGGCAAGGCGGGGGTCCCTCGGCGCCCACTGTGCTTCCCTTCCCGGCCGTGGGCCCTACCTTGCCCGCGCCCCGCCCCCCCCCTCCCTCTCCCACACATCCCACCCGCCCCCTTTCCCCGGCAATCCAGCCGGAACTCCCCTCGCGCCCTTTCGTGCAGCCCCCAGGTTTCATGTCCCGCACGGCAGGCGACCACGGGAGTGCCTCCCTCTTGGGCCCTCCCTTGTCACTTCCGTCTCACACACCCTCCAGCCCAGCGCTGGGGCACCCAACCTTCCCACCCCCTCCCTTGATCGTCCCACCCACGCTTAACCCTTACCCTACTGCCCAACCACCTCTCTTGCCCTGCCCTCCCACTCCCGCCTGGCCCATCAGCGCGAACAGGGGCGAGGCGAGGGCGACCCCCCCATCTCACCCTCCCCCTTCCTGCCCCACACACTCCTTGCCCGTCAGTATTCAGGTGGTCGCAGCGAGCCACCCATCCGCGATGGACGTCGACAAAATAGGAGTAGGGGACCTGCATGATGTCTCCTCCCAACCCTACATCCCCCCTTACCGTCGCTCCGCACAGGCAGCGATGTCGGCAGACGCCCAGGGGGAAGGGGACGGGGAAGGTGTCGGGGGAGGGCGGGGCATTGCGGATGGTGCTGCCGATCCCACCACCGCCACCACCCCTCTCTTTCCCCCCCTGTCCCCATCTGCACCCGCCCCAGGGCAGGCCGCCATCCATGCGCAGGCTAGCCCATCGCGGCAGGCTGCCATCGGCGGCCACACCCCCTCACCCTCCCAGCTGCCCCATTCTCACACTCCTCACCCACAGCAGGGTGCGGTCACACGGCAGCCGTTGATTGGACAGTTTGCCCAACCCCACACAGGTCGCCAGAAGAAGGGCAAGGGCAAGGGGACACCCGGGGCAGCCCGGCGCTCGGAGCAGCCGGACACGACTCCACCCTCTGCTGGCGTGCAGCCCTTACCATCCACCACCCCTCAGGCCACCCACTGCCCTCCCATAACCAGGATGGCGAGCTTCGGACGGTCTCCTTCCCTCACCCCACCCAGGCCCCACTCCCCTGTCACCCCCCCATCCCGCCTTTGGCCCCCCACCAGACTGTCGCCGCCGATGCCCCATCCGCGATGGAAATCAAACCGGAGGTGGAGAGGTGTCGTTAGCCTCTCGCAAGCAAGCCTATATCCCCCCCCAGCGTCGGTCCCCACCACCCGCTTCTTTGTCCCCCTCCGGTCCACAACCTCCCACCCAGGTCAGGGCCCACGGTGGTTCGCCCACCACGACCAACCAGCCCGCCCTGCTCCCCCTACCCACAGGCGGACAGTTGCAGGGGGCAGATGGGGAGACGGAGGCGGCAGTTGCCGACCTTCTCGGGATATGGGACACGTCCGCCACCCCCTCTGCGCCCGCTTGTCCGGGTCGGGTGGGGGGGGGCATCGTGGACCCTGCTCCAGACATGTCCCATGCCCCCCCTTCCCCCCCGTCCACCGCCCTCACACCGGAGCGCATGGTGATCGATGACTCCGACGCGGCCCCCGACCACCCCCTCTGCCCAGATGCGTCCACTGCTCCAGCTGCCCACACCCTAGCCCCTACGTCCCCCGGCGAGGCCACTGAGCTAGCCTGCCATCCGGACGCATGCCCCGCCCTGGTCACTGTCCCCCAGGTCGTACCATCCTCACCCACGCCCGCGCATCCCGCCGTCGCTCCCTACCTTGCTTGCTGTCTACCAGCAGTGGCTCCGGGGCGACTGCGCCCCGGCCGCACTTCCCATGCTGGCATCATCCACCCTGGTCGCGCTCTCCAAGCCGAACATGGACGTTCGGCCGATAGCCATAGGCGAGGTCCTTGCGCGCCTACTCCAGCGGGCGGCATGCCTGCAGTTGCGCGAGCCGATGGCTCGAGTCTTTCTACCATCACAGCAGTTCGGGGTCGGGGTGTCCTGCGGTACTGAGCTGGTCGTTAGGGGCGTCCGTCGCGGCAGGGCGGACCACCCGGACTGGGTGGTCGTCGAGCTCGACGTGGCGAACGCCTTTAACTCGTATCACCGCGATCGCTTGTTCGAGGCACTGCGAGCGAGCTCCGAGTTTCGCTGCCTCATCCCTTTCGTTGCCCTTTTCTACGGCACGCCATCCTCGCTGTTCTTTCGGACCGGGCGAGGAGTCACCACCATCCGCTCAGAGCGAGGATCTTGTCAGGGCGACCCTCTGAGCCCATTTCTCTTTGCCCTGACACACAGGCTGGCACTGGAGCCAGTGCTGGCGGACGAGGACGTGCAGCTGTGGTCATATGCGGATGACACGTACGTCCTGGGCACACCAGAGAGGGTGTTGCAAAGCTTCACTGCCATTCAGAGGCGCTTGGGCGAGCTGGGCCTCTCGGTCCAGCCGCACAAGTGCCTGGTCTACCCAGCGGCGTCCACACGACCGGAGGAGTTGGCAGGCTTCACCGCCCTCGGCCTCGATGTCGCGCGCCGGGGTTTGACGGTTGCGGGGGTGCCTGTTGGCACGGAGGATTTCGTCCACACGAGACTCAGGGAGCGTCTGGAGCGGATGGCCAGAGTGCTGCCGTGGCTGCCTAGGTAGCGGGACCCCCAGGTGGCTGCGCACCTGCTCTCCGCATGCGTCAGCACGCGCCCTCAGTACCTAGCGCGCACGGTCCCGCCCACACAGGCGGTGCGCTCCATCTTCGCGCACTAGGACAATGGCCTCGGCGAGGCCTTCCAACGGTTATTCGTCGCGGGCACCTGGAGCGGAGGAGGAGAGATACGCGGCGCGGCCTTGGACCAGACATTTTTGCCCATTAGGCTGGGCGGATTCGGCATCCGCCGCATGGCGCGCTCGGCGCCAGCGAGCTACCTCTGCTCCTGGGCGCAGTGCGCCCCCATCCTCTGCTCCCTCCCACAGATCGGTGAGTCCTTCAGACGGGCGCTCGCGGCGGATGACCCCGCAGGGATCGATCCCCACATCGCGACGGCTTTGGCAGACCTCCCACCAGCAGTCCGGGCCTTGCTGCCACCCCTGTCCTCTTGCATCTCGAGCGCGCCGGACGGTCTGTTTTCTGAGGTGAGTCGACATCTAGAGGCGGCGGCATTAGAGTCCGTTCGTGGACGTCACACTGACCCTTTGCATCTTGCCCGTTTGACATCCCTTCAGGGCGCAGATGCAGGCGCGTGGCTCACGGCGGTCCCTTATGCAGATCCACTGCGCATCCCGGAGGCGCAGTGGCAGGTGGCTTCATGTTTTCGCCTTGGTCTGTCTATCCCCCAGTTAGCCCTTACAGGTCATTGCTCGTGCGGACGGGAGATCGAGGACATGTCGGTGCCCCACCACGTCGTACGCTGTCAGCACTACCACGTCACTACGACCGTCCACAACGCCGTGAAGTACGTCCTCCGCGACATCGCGCGCGAGGCGGGTTTCGCGGTCACGGTGGAGGACACGGCGCTCATCCCACACCTGGAGGAGGTGCGACGGCGCTTGGCAGCCCAGCAGCAGCGAGAGGGGGCACAGGCGGGAGGGCCTACGCTGGCACAGGGACGAACTCAGACAGGACGGGGGGCACAGAGGGCCCAGGGAGGGGAGGAGGGACTGCAGGGAGGGGGGGAGGGACAGCAGGGAGGGGGGGAGGGACAGCAGGGAGGGAGGGGGGGACAGCAGGGAGGGGGGGAGGGACACGAGGGAGGGGGGGGAGCACCAGGGGGGCAGGGAGTGTTGGGACTGCCAGGAGAGTCGGGACAGCAGGCACGGCTGGTGCCGCAGACGCGGGGGACAGAGGCGGGAGTCCTTGGACAGAGGCCACGGCCACAGGGACAGCCCGCTTCACACGGTAGGACGGTACAGCCGCAGCAGCCGCAGCTGAGGGAGGGCCAGGGGAGGCGCCTGGGGCGAGGGAGACTGGGGGCTCAGGAGGGGGGAAGGGCGGATGGGGCTTGGGGGGAAAGGACTCTGGGTACAGCAGGAGAGGGGGGGGCAGCCCGACCACAGGGGGGTGGGGGGGAGGAGATCGAGGAGATAGTCATGGCCGAGGGAGGGGGTCAGATAGCAGGGGACCGAGCACAGGACAGGCCAGAGGCAGCTAGAGGGGCCAGAGGGGGTGTGGAGCTTGATCCCCGCCAGGGGACAGGGGCACAGGAGGGCGAGAGAGTGGCAAGGGGAGGGGGGATAGCAGGGGGGACGGGGGGGGGCGAGGGAGTGGGGAGGACGGGAGGAGCGGGGCAGGTAGATGGAGAGGGTCTGGGGGAGGGGATAGGAGAGGCAGGGGGGTTGGGAGGGGTAGGGGCAAGGGAAAGGGAAGGGAGGGTGAGAGAGGGGGACGAGGGGGGGACAATGGCACAAGGAGGAGGGGGATTAGGGGACACGACTAGGCAGCAGCCCACACTGCAGCACAGCACAGCCGGACGCGCAGGCCGCGCAGGAGCACCCGCACGCATCCCCGACCTCACATGCCGCGACGCTGAGAAGGCACTCGTGATTATTATAGACGTGTCGATAGCGGATCCACAGCGGGGTGGGAATGCACAGTTTCGGCGAGCGGCATCCACGCAGCGGGGGGTGGCGGCGACGAGGCGGGTGCAGGAGAAGATCAGGGACTGGCGGCCGGCCTTGGTAGGGGTGCAGCCGGAGCCGATGTTCTATGCGTGCGTTGCTGAGACTTTCGGGCACTTGAGCGTGCCACTGCGAGATTTTCTGGGGCTCTGCTCACGGTGCATAGCGACGCAGCGGCGGGACGCGGGTAGTGGGGAGGAGGCATCGGCTCGGATCTTTGAGTGCGCTCTTACCACGCGAGTTTCAGTGGCGCTGCAGCGGGCGCAGGCGAACATTATCACACAGCATGCAGTGCGACAGCTGGGAGAGTCGGACGATGCATGGATGCCGATACCGGTACCGCTTGGCGCAGGCAGCTGGAGCGGACATCACATCAGTGGCTGCTTTGACAGTGTGGCCGATATGCAGTACCTGTTTGATGGCTATGTGTAGATCAAAACAAGAGTAGGCTGTGCTTGAAACGCTGTGTCTGCGCTGTAGGCGCGGGTTGCTGCTTTGTCGTGTCCCTTGGACCCCCCCCTCCTTACAGTCACACCCCTCCTCTCTTCCACCTCTCTCACCTCCCCCTTTCTTTTCCCTTACTCCTATCTTTCTTGATCCTCCTACTTCTTCTATCCTTCTCTTTCTTTCCCTCTCTTTCTACCTTCCCTTCTCTTGTTTTCCTCTCTACTTTCTCTTCTCTTCTTTCCCTTCTCTTCCTAACTTCCAAAAACACTACTGTGGTCGTATAGCGTAACATTCATGCCGAAATTTCCAACTTCGGTTTCATATTGGCTATGTGACGTGTAACTCTCTTCGTTATTAATAAAATAACTGCTCTCGCCCACTGGCGCTTAGCTTCGGAGTTCTGATGGGATCCGGCATAGTAGCCAAGGTATGATCGTACCACGCTGAATGCGCGGGGCGCTCACTACCGGGTGGCCCCCGAGCTACACTACCCTTCATTATAGTCACATCGCCCCGGCACGAGCCAAAAGGGATCCTCTGTCCGCCCGCACCCCCCGGAACGCCGCTAAGATGGTTTGAGGGCTCCTCCGCGGACCGACCCCCGTCGATCTCGCCATCCCACCCCGGCTAAGTCCCCCGTCACTCTCGCTCGCCTCCCACCCTCCTCCCTCTCTCTCTTCTAGTTCGCCGCGTCGCGCTTTTCTCAGCTTTCTAGTTTCTAAGCTTAGATCCGCGCCACGCCACCTAACCCTAAAATCGGTCGCTAGCACCAGTTCGTTTTTTCGTTCGTTACAGCGTCCTCTCTCCCCCTATCACTTAGCGCACCCTTCGTGTATTCCCTGGCGCGCCGTCCCCGTATGTCGTTACCGCGCGAAACTAGGCCAACACTAGCGCCAGGAGAGCCCCCACCTCCTCCACACCCATGGCCACAGGTAGCAAGTCTGGCACAGGTGAGGCCGCAGCAGGGCCTGTGGCAGGGGATGGGGATGCGGCAGCACCGGGGGGTCCTGCAGAGGTGGCAGCAGAGATGGGGGTGTGGGAGGTGAAAGTGGGGGTGACGGAGAGGGCGGAGGGGGAAAGATCGGCAGAGACGGTGGGGGCTGGTGAGGACTCAGAGTGGGACGAGGCCGGGTACTCGGATGGGGACAACGCGAAGGACTCGGATTGGGTTTTGGAGGGCGCCGAGGACTCGGATGAGGACGTAGTTGAGCTCATAGCACCCGCTCCTAGTGCAGCCAGGCTCGAGGCCGTGTCCTCAGCAGGGGAGCCAGCGACGGGAGCTGTGGGGTTGGCAGGAGCGGCAGCTGGAGCGGAGGCGGAGGGGGAGGTGGCACGGGCTGGGGTAGAGAGGGCAACATTAGAGGGTATGGCCCGGGCCTATGCGCGGTCCATGGCCGCATGTGGTGCGGCGCCGGAGGCAGCAGCAAGAGAGGCTGCAGGTGTGGCAACTGCAGGGGCGGTTGCAACAGTGGCAGCCATCAGGACCGCGGCAAAGGAGGCTGCCGCAGGAGTCACCGCAGGGGGTACTCCAGCGGAAGCTGCTATGGCAGAGGCGGAGGCAGGAGAGGCTGCATGGGGGAAGGTGGAAAAGGCGGCTGCAGAGGCGGCAGCAGCACGGGCTGTAGCCGCAGGGGGAGGAACGACAGCCGTGGTGGGAGGGGTGGCTGTGGGGGCTGCGGCAGAAGGAGACCCTGCAGAGGTAGCAGCCACTGGGGGTGGGGCCGCTCCAGAGTTGGCAGCAGCCGGGGGGGTGGTCGCGGCGGCGGCAGCAGCAGCAGGGGCCGCAGGGGCAGCCGGGGCGGATTTGGGGACAGCAGCAACAGCAGGCGCCCCTGCAGAGGCGGCAGAGGCGGCAGAGGCGGGAGCAGCGGCGGTGCGGGCGGCGACAGTGGCAGGAGCTGGAGCTGCCACCGCAGCGGAGGCAGCAGCAGCCGATCTTGCGAGGGGCGCAACGACCGGGGCTCGGGATGCCGCAGAGGCGGTGATGGCTGAAGCCGCTGCAGCGGCCAGGGTGGCTGCCGGGGAAGCAGAAGCAGACGAAGGAGTCCCTGCTGAGGCGGCGGGGGCGGGGACAACGGCAGAGGCGGCAGCAGCAGCAGCGGCAGCAGCAGCAACAGGAGCACGTGCAGGGGCGGCTGCTGGTGCGACAGGGATAGGAGAGCTGCCGGAGGCGGCAGCAGCGGCAAGGCTACCTACGGCGGAGGAGGCAGGAAAGGGAGCTGTTGTACGCGCTCTCGCACGGGCTATTACCGGGGGGGGGATGTATGCACGTCTGGCAGCTGCTGCGGCAGCAGCGGAGGAGGCAGAGATAGGGGCCGCTGCGGGGAAGGCAGCCAGGGGGAGCGCCACAGGGAAACCAGCAGCAAGTGCTGCAGCAGGGAAGGCAGCAGCGGGGGCAGCGGCAGGGAGAGTAGCAATGGGTCCCGCTGTTTCGCAGGCAGCGGCTAGCAGGGCCGCGACAGCGGCGGCGGCGGCGGCTGCGGTGGTGTCAGCGGAAAAAGGGGAAGCAGGGGGTGCCGCACCGGGGGCAGCAGCGGAAGCGGCTGCAGGGAAGGCAGCAGCAGGATCAGCAGGGCGTGCCACGGGGGAGACAACCGCCGGGGTAGCTGCGGGGATGGCAGCAACAGGAAGGGCAGCTGGGGCGGCAGCAGGGAAGGCAGCAACAGCAGCAACACGGGCAGCGGCAAGAGGTGCTGCACGGGAGAGGGCAGCGGGAGCCGCTGCAGGAAGGGCAGCTCCAGCAGGAGGTGTGGTGAGAGAGACAGCAGCCGGAGCGGCTGATGGTAAGGCAGTAACTGGGACGAGGGCTAAGGAGGCTGGACACAGGGCAGCACCTAGGCCGGAAGAGACTGTCTCATCCCCTCCCACCCCCCCATCTCCCCCCTCCCCCCCCCTCCTTCCCCTCCTCCCCCTACTTCCCTTGCGGTCCCCCGTCCCCCCCTTCCCCCCCCTACTCCCAATCCCATGCATGCAGGGGCTTCACCAGCGGCGCAGGGCCCTCGCCGTGGGCTACAACCCAGGGCTATGGGCGGGGCGGCCCGAGCCTTGGCGTTTTTGGCGGACCCCTGTACACCCGAGCCAATGATCGGGACGCAGTCTCACCACTCCCTCTCCCCCCACACCCTCCCCTTACAGCTGAGTGTGCCCCACGAGGCGGCCGCCGAGGATGGCCCGGACAATGATGGCCCGCTCGCCGGATATATCTTGGTCGACTCAACCCTTCCATGCTCTCCCTCATCAGCCCTCGCCCCGGCGCCTGGAGCACAAACAACAGCCGGGCAGGTTGCTCCCTCCCCCTCCCCACCCACGCAGGCTGCCGCGCCGGACGCCTCGACCTGGGTAGCACAAGGAGGGGCGGCTCTTGCCCAACCCCCCTCGTCAGTCCGCCCCCAACCCTGTTCCACCCCAGGTGCCTCCCGCCCGGCACAGGGCACACACCCTGTCGGCCACACGGGCACTTCCCATAGGAACGGTGAGCGGGGTGCACCCCCGGCAAGGGGGAGCAACCCGAATCAACTCCCTCTCGGCCCTCGCCGTCTCACCCCGGCTGATCCCACTTCCCAAGCCCCACAGCTAAGCTTCGGGCAAGGCGGGGGTCCCTCGGCGCCCACTCTGCTTCCCTTCCCGGCTGTGGGCCCTACCTTGCCCGCGCCCCGCCCCCCCTCTCCCTCTCCCACACATCCCACCCGCCCCCTTTCCCTGGCAATCCAGCCGGAACTCCCCTCGCGCCCTTTCGTGCAGCCCCCAGGTTTCATGTCCCGCACGGCAGGCGACCACGGGAGTGCCTCCCTCTTGGGCCCTCCCTTGTCACTTCCGTCTCACACACCCTCCAGCCCAGCGCTGGGGCACCCAACCTTCCCACCCCCTCCCTTGTCACTTCCGTCCCACACACCCTCCAGCCCAGCGCTGGGGCACCCACCCTTCCCACCCCCTTCATTGCGCATCCCACCCGCGCTTAACCCTTACCCTACTGCCCAACCACCTCTCTTGCCCTGCCCCCCTACTCCCGCCCGTCCCATCAGCGCGAACAGGGGCGAGGCGAGGGCGGCCCCCCCATCTCACCCTCCCCCTTCCTGCCCCACACACTCCTTGCCCGTCAGTATTCAGGTGGTCGCAGCGAGCCACCCATCCGCGATGGACCTCGACAAAACAGGAGTAGGGGACCTGCATGATGTCTCCTCCCAACCCTACATCCCCCCTTACCGTCGCTCCGCACAGGCACCGATGTCGGCAGACGCCCAGGGGGAAGGGGACGGGGAAGGTGTCGGGGGAGGGCGGGGCATTGCGGATGGTGCTGCCGATTCCACCACCGCCACCACCCCTCACTTTCTCCCCCTGTCCCCATCTGCACCCGCCCCAGGGCAGGCCGCCATCCATGCGCAGGCTAGCCCATCGCGGCAAGCGGCCATCGGCGGCCACACCCCCTCACCCTCCCAGCTGCCCCATTCTCACACTCCTCACCCACAGCAGGGGGCGGTCACACGGCAGCCGCTGATTGGACAGTTTGCCTAACCCCACACAGGTCGGACGGTCTCCCTCCCTCACCCCACCCAGGCCCCACTCCTCTGTCACCCCCCCATCTCGCCTTTGGCCCCCCACCAGACGGTCGCCGCCGATGCCCCATCCGCGATGGAAATCGAACCGGAGGCGGAAGAGGTGTCTTTAGCCTCTCGCAAGCAAGCCTATATCCCCCCCCCAGCGTCGGTCCCCACCACCCGCTTCTTTGTCCCCCTCCGGTCCACAACCTCCCACCCAGGTCAGGGCCCACGGTGGTTCGCCCACCACGACCAACCAGCCTGCCCTGCTCCCCCTACCCACAGGCGGACAGTCGCAGGGGGCAGATGGGGAGACGGAGGCGGCAGTTGCCGACCTTCTCAGGATATGGGACACGTCCGCCACCCCCTTTGCGCCCGCTTGTCCGGGTCGGGTGGTTGGGGGCACCGTGGACTCTGCTCCAGACATCCCCATGCCCCCCCTTCCCCCCCGTCCACCGCCCTCACACCGGAGCGCATGGTGATCGATGACTCCGACGCGGCCCCCGACCACCCGCTCCCCTCCCCCCAGGATGCAGGGGCCGCACCTAGGCCCTCGGGCCCCCCGCCGATCCCTCCCCCTCTTTCGACATCGCCGCCGCCGCTGACCCCCGTCCGACCCCAGGTGGCAGGTGAGCCTCCTTCCCTGATGGCGGGCGACTATCGACCGGACCCGGTCGTCGAGCCGGCCGCCTCCACCGCCAGCTCTGACGATACCGCCCACACCGATCACGCGGACGAGTCCACGCCAGCCCATGAGCTGAGATGTCCCACGTGTCTGAACCTCATGGCGGACGATAGAGCTCTCCGCCACCACACACCTCACTGCACCCCGAGCGATGAGGCACGCCGTGTGCAGGCCCGCCAGGAGGCCGCCTCGGTCGGCGGGTCACTCTCACGCCCGGGTTCATCTGTCCCGGTCTTTTCCCACGCGCAGTGGGCGCAGCTGGACTCTGTGGATTGGAGGGAGTATTTCTCTCCGTCCCGGACGCATGCTCGCCCGCTCCGGCGCATTCCGCCGAGGGTCCGCGGAGGCATCTCTGATGTCCTCCGCGCGATCACCGCCCGTATGGAGCAGTATCCGGATGCCGACGGGCCCCACTTCTTGTTCACGGCAGTGCCGACGCTGTTCTTAGCGCCGGCTACTCCACCAGAGCGGGGCCACACAGCTTCCATCGCGGCTCGCGTCGCGCGCTTCTTCCGAGGTGAGTGGGACTCTCTCTTCTCCGACGCGCTGCGTCGTCGCACGCCCCTGCCCACCCGCACATCACGTCGCACCCCCGGCACCGCCACGTCGGGAGACGAGCGTCGGATTGCGCGTTGCCTGCACTTGGCAGCGTGCAACGAGACATCTCGTGCGTGCGCGGCACTGGACTGACACCTACTTGGCATTCCCACAGACCCTACCCTCCTTGCTGTCTGTGTACCAGCTCTGGCTCGGAGGACGCTGCCCCTCAGCTGCGCGTTCTCTTTTGGCCTCGTCCACCCTTGTGGCTCTCGCGAAGCCGAACGGGGACGTGCGGCCGATCGCCATTGGAGAGGTGCTCGTGCGCGTCCTCTCCCGCGCAGTCTGCCTCCAGCTCCGCGACCAGATGGCGAGAGTGTTCCTCGCGTCACAGCAGTTCGGAGTCGGGGTCACGTGTGGCACAGAGGTCACCGTTAGAGGCGTTGTCCGCGCTCTAGCTGACCACCCAGGCTGGGTGGTTCTGCAGCTGGACGTGGCCAACGCCTTTAACTCTTTCTTTCGCGACGTCTTGTTCCAGGCACTGCATGCCAGTCCTGAGTTCAGGTGCTTCATTCCATTCATCCGTCTTTTTTACGGCACGCCGTCCGATCTGCTCTATCGGACCGGCAGGGGAGTCACCACGATGCACTCGGAGCGCGGCACTCGGCAGGGAGACCCGCTGAGCCCGTTTCTCTACGCCCTCATGCAGCGCCTTGCCCTGGAGCCCGTCCTGGCAAGGGGTGACGTCCAACTCTGGTCGTACGCCGACGACACCTACCTCGTGGGCCCTCCAGACAGGGTGATGCACCACTTCACGGAGGTCGTGAGGCGCTTGGGCGAGTTGGGCCTTGCTGTCCAGCCGCACAAGTGCCTTGTCCATCACACGTCGGTGATCCTGCCTCGCGACGTGCAGGCTTTCACCGATCTGGGCATGGAGGTCGCACGCCGGGGGCTCACCGTGACGGGCGTCCCGGTTGGCACCGAGACCTTTGTGACGACCAGCCTGCGGGACCGACTGGAGAGGATGGCTGGGGTGCTGCCGTGGCTCCCGAGGCTGCGGCAGCCACAGACAGCGGCGCGTCTGCTCTCTGCGTGTGTCAGCACACGTCCGCAGTACTTGGCGCGGACAGTCCCCCCATCACCAGAGGTACGTGCCATCTTTGCAGCGTGGGACGCGCGCTTGGGAGCGACCTTCCAGCGGCTCCTGGTGCGAGGTACGTGGAGGGAGGGGGACGCGATCTGCGAGGCAGCCCTGGAGCAGGCTTTCCTCCCGATTCGCATCGGGGGCTTCGGCATCCGACGCATGGAGCGCATCGCCCCGGTGAGTTATCTCTGTTCGTGGGCGCAGTGCGCACCGATTCTCTGCTCGTTGCCGTCGGTGGGGGAGGGCTTCCGTCAGAGCTTCGCATCAGGTGAGCCCGCCTAGATCGATCCGCACATCATGATGGCTCACGAGGCCTTGCCGGCGGACGTCCTACGCTTCATGCCGGCCTGGCCTTCTTGCGCGATAGGAGCACCGGACGGCCTTTTCAGAGAGGCCAGCAGACACATCGAGGCGCACGCTTTGGAGTCGGTACGTGCCCGTCATACTGATCCCCTGCATCTTGCCCGTTTGACATCCCTTCAGGGTCCAGGTGCGGGAGCTTGGCTTACGGCGGTACCCTACGCGGACTCCCTGCGCATTCCGGAGGCGCAGTGGCAGGTGGCTTCATGCTTTCGTCTCGGTCTTCCCATTCCCCAGTTAGTCCTGGCAGGTCAGTGCTCGTGCGGAGAGGAGATCGCCGACATGTCGGTGCCGCATCACGCGGTGAGGTGCGCGCGCTTCGCGGTCGCCACGACCATCCACGACACAGTGAAGTACATGCTTCGTGACTTCGCGGACGAGGCCGGCTTCGCTGTCCAGGTGGAGGACACGGCGCTCATTCCGCACCTGGAGGCAGCGCGAGCTCGACTGCAGGTTTTGCACGCGGGGGAGGGGCAGGGGCAGGAGCGGGCAGGACAGAGAGGACGGCAGCAGCGGCGGGATCAGGAGGGGGGGGAGAGGCAGGCGGGTGAGGAGGGAGAGAGGCAGGGGGCGGAGGAGGAGCAGGAGGGGCAGCAGCGGCGGTTCGGCAGGGAGGATCAGCAGCAGCAGCAGCAGCAGCAGGGCACGGGGGAGAGTCGGCGGGAGGAGGAGCAGCGGCAGCAGCGGCAGGGTGGCGGAGAGGGGCAGCAGCGGCGCGCGGGGGGAGAGGGGCAGGTACAGCAGCCGCAGGGAGCTCAGGCAGGGCCGCAGCAGGGGGCCCAGGCTGGACAGCAGCAGGGGACAGGGGACGGGCTCTTGGGCAGGGCACCGCCGAGGCGTGTGCGTTTCGCCCGCGAGGCGGTAGGAGAGGCGCACGCGGAGGGGAGGACAGGCGAGGGTGGGCTAGAGGGGTCGGTAGTAGGCGGGGGTATAGGAGGGACGGAGGGCGGGAGGGGAGGGGGGGCGGGAGGGAGAGAGGAGATGGCGGAAGGGGCGGGGGTGGCAGGGGGAGTGGGGGAGGGGAGAGCGGGAGGGAGGAGAGGGAGGGTGAGAGGGGGAGTTGGGAGGGGGACCACGACGACCAGAGGGGGGGCATCAGGGGACCAGACAGAGCAGCAGCCCACGCAGCAGCAGCAGACGCCAGCCGCTCGCACAGGCCGCATAGGGGCACCCGCCCGCATTCCCGACCTCACTTGCAGGGTGCCGCGAGATGCATTGATGGTGATTGTAGAAGTCTCGGTGGCAGACCCACAGCGGGAGGGGAATGCGCAGTTCAGGCGGATGGCACCCACTTAGATTGGCGGCGCAGCAGCTAGGCGGGTGCAGGACAAGCTGCGACACTGGAGGCCGGTGTTACAGGGGTTACAGCCGGATCCAGAGTTTTACGCCTGCGTAGTGGAGACTTTTGGGTGCCTGAGTGAGCCACTGCGGCAGTTCCTAGGGCTGTGTGCATCGCGGACAGCACGGCGGAGGAGAGATTCAGGGGCAGGGGATGACGGGTCGGCACGGATATTTGAGACGAGCCTCACTACGCGTCTCTCCGTGGCACTGCAGCGCGCGCAGGCAAATGTGATCATGCAGCATGCAGTGCGGCAGCTGGGCGGCTCCGACAATGGATGGATGCCAGCACCTGTACCTTTGGGCGCTGGGCAGGGGAGTTGGCACCACATCACAGGGTGCTTCGAGAGTGCAGCAGATATGCAGTACATGTATGATGCATATGTGTAGAAAAACATATATAGGCCGTGCTTGAGACGCTGTGCCCGCGCTGTGCGCGTGGGCTGTTGTTTTGTTAGGTCCCAGGATGTCCCTTTGATATAATCACACCCCCCCTCCCCTCTTCCCCTCTTCTCTTTCTCTCCTCTTTCTCGCTCTCTTCTCCCCCACTCTTTCTGCTACCTTCTTCCTTCCACTATCTTCTCTCTCTTTCCTTCTCTATCTCTTCTCCCTCTCTTTTTTCTCTTCTATACCTCTAAACGCTACTATGTCATAATAGCGCAACGCTCATGCCGAAAATCTCATCCTTGGCTTTAGAATTGCTATATGACTTGTAACCCTCTTCATTTTCAATGAGAAAACTGCTCTCGCCCACTGGTGCTTAGCTTCGGAGTTCTGATGGGATCCGGCGTAGTAGCCAAGGTATGATCGTACCACACTGAGAGTGCGGGACGCTCACTACCGCGTGGCCCCCGAGCTACACTACCCTTCATTATAGTCACATCGCCCCGGCACGAGCAAAAAGGGATCCTCTGTCCGCCGGCACCCCCCGGAACGCCGCTAAGATGGTTCAAGGACATGTCGGTGCCCCACCACGTCGTACGCTGTCAGCACTACCACGACCGTCCACAACGCCGTGAAGTACGTCCTCCGCGACATCGCGCGCGAGGCGGGTTTCGCGGTCAGGGTGGAGGACACGACGCTCATCCCACACCTGGAGGAGGTGCGACGGCGCTTGGCAGCCCAGCAGCAGCGAGAGGGGGCACAGGCGGGAGGGCCTACGCTGGCACAGGGACGCACTCATACAGGACGGGGGGCACAGAGGGCCCAGGGAGGGGAGGAGGGACTGCAGGGAGGGGGGGAGGGACATCAAGGAGGGGGGAGGGACAGCAGGGAGGGGGGGAGGGACAGCAGGGAGGGGGGAGGGACAGCAGGGAGGGAGGGGGGACAGCAGGGAGGGGGGGAGGGGCAGCTGGGTGGGGGGGATGGACACGAGGGAGGGGGGGGAGCACCAGGGGGGCAGGGAGTGTTGGGACTGCCAGGAGAGTCGGTACTGCAGGCACGGCTGGTGCTGCAGACGCGGGGGACAGAGGCGGGAGTCCTTGGACAGAGGCCACGGCCACAGGGACAGCCCGCTTCACACGGTAGGACGGTACAGCCGCAGCAGCCGCAGCTGAGGGAGGGCCAGGGGATGCGCCTGGGGCGAGGGAGACAGGGGCTCAGGAGGGGGGAAGGGCGGATGGGGCTTGGGGGGAAAGGACTCAGGGTACCGCAGGAGAGGGGGGGGCAGCCCGACCACAGGGGGGTGGGGGGGAGGAGATCGAGGAGATAGTCATGGCCGAGGGAGGGGGTCAGATAGCAGGGGACCGAGCACAGGACAGGCCAGAGGTAGCTAGAGGGGCCAGAGGGGGTGTGGAGCTTGATCCCCGCCAGGGGACAGGGGCACAGGAGGGCGAGAGAGTGGCAAGGGGAGGGGGGATAGCAGGGGGGACGGGGGGGGGCGAGGGAGTGGGGAGGACGGGAGGAGCGGGGCAGGTAGATGGAGAGGGTCTGGGGGAGGGGATAGGAGAGGCAGGGGGGTTGGGAGGGGTAGGGGCAAGGGAAAGGGAAGGGAGGGTGAGAGAGGGGGACGAGGGGGGGACAATGGCACAAGGAGGAGGGGGACCAGGGGACACGACTAGGCAGCAGCCCACACTGCAGCACAGCACAGCCGGACGCGCAGGCCGCGCAGGAGCACCCGCACCCATCCCCGACCTCACATGCCGCGACGCTGAGAAGGCACTCATGATTATTATAGACGTGTCGATAGCGGATCCACAGCGGGGTGGGAATGCACAGTTTCGGCGAGCGGCATCCACGCAGCGGGGGGTGGCGGCGACGAGGCGGGTGCAGGAGAAGATCAGGGACTGGCGGCCGGCCTTGGTAGGGGTGCAGCCGGAGCCGATGTTCTATGCGTGCGTTGCTGAGACATTCGGGCACTTGAGCGTGCCAATGCGAGATTTTCTGGGGCTCTGCTCACAGCGCATAGCGACGCAGCGGCGGGACGCGGGTAGTGGGGAGGAGGCATCGGCTCGGATCTTTGAGTGCGCTCTCACCACGCGAGTTTCAGTGGCGCTGCAGCGGGCGCAGGCGAACATTATCACACAGCATGCAGTGCGACAGCTGGGAGAGTCAAACGATGCATGGATGCCGATACCGGTACCGCTTGGCGCAGGCAGCTGGAGCGGACATCACATTAGTGGCTGCTTTGACAGTGTGGCCGATATGCAGTACCTGTTTGATGGCTATGTGTAGATCAAAACAAGAGTAGGCTGTGCTTGAAACGCTGTGTCTGCGCTGTAGGTGCGGGTTGCTGCTTTGTCGTGTCCCTTGGACCCCTCCCTCCTTACAGTCACACCCCTCCTCTCTTCCACCTCTCTCACCTCCCCCTTTCTTTTCCCTTACTCCTATCTTTCTTGATCCTCCTACTTCTTCTATCCTTCTCTTTCTTTCCCTCTCTTTCTACCTTCCCTTCTCTTCTTTTCCTCTCTACTTTCTCTTCTCTTCTTTCCCTTCTCTTCCTAACTTCCAAAAACACTACTGTGGTCGTATAGCGTAACATTCATGCCGAAATTTCCAACTTCGATTTCATATTGGCTATATGACTTGTAACTCTCTTCGTTATTAATAAAATAACTGCTCTCGCCCACTGGCGCTTAGCTTCGGAGTTCTGATGGGATCCGGCGTAGTAGCCAAGGTATGATCGTACCACGCTGGGTGTGCGGGGCGCTCACTACCGCGTGGCCCCCGAGCTACACTACCCTTCATTATAGTCACATCGCCCCGGCACGAGCCAAAAGGGATCCTCTGTCCGCCGGCCCCCCCCGGAACGGCGCTAAGATTGTTTGAGGGCTTCCCGTGGCCTGACCCCCTTCAGGATGGTGTGTTTCTTTGTTTTTGTTTTTTCTTTTCTTCCGGGCAGTTTGGCGCAAAAAATATCCTTTCTTCTTTCCCCTGTCCACCTCCCGCAAGAGAGCTGGCATAACAAATGGGTACGACACGAGGACTTCCCGGGAGGTCACTAGCGCTTAGACCTTGCTTACCTACCTACCTTCCTAAGGAGCCTTCTAGCTGCCACTGATCACGTTACTGTTTCATAAGCTGTTATTAGTGTTTGTATCGGAGGTGTAACGGGAGGGTTTCGGCAACGGCTACGAGCGGGTGTGACAGAAGTGGCGTCTAACACGACCTTGCGGGGTCGATCGATTTTTCGCCGCCCCCTCGATCTCGCCACCGCGCCTCGGCATCCCTTGCGTCACTTCACTGTTTCATAGGAGGTTATAAGTGTTTGTATCGGAGGTGTAACGGGAAGGTATCGGCAACGGCTAGGAGCGGGTGAGACGGAAGCGGCGGCGAACACGACCCTGCGGTGTCGAGCAAATTTTTGCCACCCCCGTCGATCTCGCCATCCCACCCCGGCCGAGTCCCCCGTCACTCTTGCTCACCTTCCACTCCCTCCCTTTCTCTCTCCTAGACTGCGGCGTCGCGCGTTTCTTAGGTCTCTAGTTTCTAAAGCTTAGAACCGCGCCACGCCAGCAAACCCTAATTTAGTCTCCCTGCACGGCATCGTTTTTCACGATGCCCTTTCCTCCCCCGCTAAGCGCTCAACTTTAGGTAAGCACCCACGCCCCCTACCGTGTCCTTCACTCTTTCAGCGCGATTTCCTCTTCCAGAACGCCTTACTCCCCTCTGCCACTGCGCATCAATCCCCACTGCCACTTCGCGTCATTCCCCTCCGCCGCCGCGCATCATTCCCCCTCTGTCCAGCGCGCCGTTTCCCTCTCACAGTTCGACATTTCCCCCTCTGTCCAGCGGGCCGTTTCCCCCTAGCTCGCCGTATCTCCCTCCCCCCCAGCTCGACATTTCCCCCTCTTCCTCTGCTCACCGTGTGCCCTCTTCCCCTGCTCGCCGTCCCTCCCTTCCCTGCTCGCCGTCCCTCCCTTCCCTGCCCGCCGTCCCTCCCTTCCCTACTCGCCGTCCCCCCCTTTCCCTGCTCGCCGACCCCCCCCTTCCCTGCCCGCCGTCCCTCCCTTCCCTACTCGCCGTCCCCCCCTTTCCTTGCTCGCCGCCCCCCCCTTCCCTGGCCGCCGTCCCTCCCTTCCCACCTGGCCGTCCCTCCCTTCCCTGCTCGCCGTCCCTCCCTTCCCACCTCGCCGTCCCTCCCTTCCCTGATCGCCACCCCTCCCTTCCCACCTCGCCGTCCCTCTTCATTTCCTGCCCGCCCTCCCTGTTTTCCCTGCTCGTTGTCCCCCATCCCCCTGTTTGACGTCCCCCCCTTTCCCTGCTTGCCGTCCCCCCCCTTCTTTCCCTGCTAAACGTCCCCTCCGCCCCTGTTCGCCATTTCCCCCCCTGTCTAGCTTGCCACTTTCCCCTTTCCCCAGCTCGCAACTTACCCCTCTCTCCAGCACGCCGCCTCGCCCTCCGTCCACCTCACTGCTTCCCCCTCCCTTGCCGCTGCTCCTCCCCCCCCTTGGCCACTGATTTTCCCCCTCCTTGCCGCTGCTTTTACCCCCCTTTGCCCGCGGCTTTCCCCCCCGGACGCTGTTTTTCCCCACGTTGCCCCCTGCTTTTCCTCTGCCCGCGGCTTTTCCTCCCATCGCCCGCCGCTTTCCCCCCTTGCGGCTGCTTTCCCCCCTTGCCGCTGCTTTCTCCCCTTGTCCGCTGCTTTCCCCCCTCGCCGCTTTCCCCCCTTGCCGCTGCTTTCCCCCCTCGCCTTGCCTCTTGCTTTTCCCTCCCCGGCCCCTGCATTTCCCCCCCTTGCCCGCTGTCATTCCCCCCCTTGCTCGCAGCTTTTCCACCCTAAGCCGCTGCTCGTTCCCCCCTCGCCAGTTGCTTTTCCCTCCCTTGCCCCTGTTTTCCCCCCCCTTGCCCGCTGTTTTTCCCCCTTGCCCGTAGCTTCCCCCCTCCCCCCTTGTACGCCGTTCCGTGTTTCTTGGCGCGCCATTCACCTTCTTCCCTTCCGACCGTTTTCCCTCCTTTCTTTGTCCTCGCCCTCTGTCC